AAAAAAAAACTTGAATGGGTGACTCTCCCTCTGTAAAGGTACCTTCCGGCCATTCCATGGTACCTCGGTCCATCATAATGGCCATTTCACAGTATCTCTTCCTCTGTAACATTTTATGTATGTGCTCTTTTAATATTTGTCATGAGTTCAGCATATGAATTTTAAAAAAAAATCATTATTCAAAACTTTAAACAATATATCCGTACATCCAAATGCACTTGCCAATTCATGTGACATATCAGGTTACTTATGACACCTGGACCTTTTTTTTTATTTCTTATAAAAAAGCAATAATGATGAGATATTGATGAAAATTGTATTCATGGAGGGAATGCTGTGAAATGGTCTGCTGTTGGTATTGAGTTGTAACACAGGTACCGTAAGATCTTGAATATCAAGTTGGCCTTGAGAATTTTGTCATACTTGAAAATGAGCCTCTTGATAATTTTGTAAAGTTCCTCACATAATATGCCCGAGTCGGATTCACATATTTTATAATATTAATTAATTTTTAAGTGATGAAATTTTCAAGTTTTTACCATATTTTATGTTCTCCCTGACACAAGGTACATCCAGGCAGCAGCGTCTCCCAAGGATATCGTAATTCTGTTGGACTCCAGTGGCAGTATGACTGGGCTGAGGAGCAAAATAGCGCGAACTACAATTAATAAAATTCTTGACACTCTGAGTGATGATGACTATTTCAACATTATAAGTGTAAGTACAATAAATTTACCACAGGTTCATAACCAAGGGGCCAGGGGGTTCAAGTGAACTGCCATTCTTGCTGGGGAAAGGTCTGTTCTGATTAGAATTTTAGGCACAGTCAGGGTTGACTTTTTCAGAACCCCGCCCCCGCCCTTAGAAATTGCTGTCCACTAGTACATGTATCAAGAGATAAGATTTAAGAGCAGGAGACCTTATATTTTATATGTTAGTATATTTAAGATTTACATCTGATATTTTCTGTTTAAAGATCAAAAGCAAATGATTTAGGTTATAGTTTTAGGTTATAAAAGAAAGTATTCTGAGGTCCCATTTTTGATAATACTAGTGAGGCATACATTTTGATCAAGTTTGGTATTTAGAAACCCTTTTTCTTTTAATGAATTTTTGATCCTATTGATATTTTTCCCTTAATAGTGTATTGAATATGTATATTGAAATGTGTGTTTTACTGAAGACCTCATGTAAACACCATGAATAGATTTGCATGTTAATTAGCAAATGTTTTTTTTTTTCAGTATTCTACACAACCATTATATATTGATAAATGTTCTAATAGAACTTTAATACAAGCGAACATAAAAAATAAAGAGGTGAGTGATTTTGATTTTTTTACTAATTTTTTTTCATGAAAAGGATATATTAATGAACTTTGACTGTGAGATTTATTTATTTATTCGTTTACTATGAAAAAACATTTAGTAATTAGGTGCTGTTTTCAAATTAATTGAATAGTTTGAAATCTGCAAACTTATTTTATGTCCTAAAAGATTTCAAGTTAATTTTTCACTTTATTAATGGAATATATTCATTGTAAAGAAATATGGACTTTATCTAAATGTACAACAAAAATCTTTTGCAGAGATTAAAAGAAGCAGTAAAGGATGTGGAAATAAAAAAAATAGCCCACTTGGATCGAGCCTTGGAGGAGGCATTTGCCTTGCTGGATGTGGTATGTGGCAGAAATAATTGACTCATATTAAAGTTTTTATTTGTACCAGTACTATGCAGTCTGCTATGTTAGCCACTAGTCCAACATAATGGACTTAAACATTTTGTATTCTACACTTAAAAAATCAGGAGTTTTGTTCAATGAGGATAATATTTCCATAGATTAGATCGACCTAACTCCCTGGGGGTTCACGCTAAATAGCTGTCAGCCGGGCAGATGAAAGTAAATTACCCCCTTACAGCTTGTAGTAGGCGGGACAGACATTTAAGTCGGATTATCTGAAAGTAATCTAGTGAGACTCCCCGCGGGGATAGATCGATCTAAAATCTATGGGAATAGAGCCTATGTTTAAGTGGACTCCCAGGTAAAAACAGATTCTTCTCGCACAGTTTCTGTCTTGCTCATGAAGATAAAAACTCAAAATCCTTAAAATGTTCTATTGAATTTTAAAACACATCATAACAATTACCCAGCCCTCTATGGATCATCCATTGTCTAAGGGTCTCTATTGTCCAGTGGTGAATCCTTGCATAAAAAATGGCACTTTATGATGAAAATCAAACCTGGATTTATTGCTTTCAATTCATATAGTTAATATTTTTTAAAAATAATGTTTTTGTCTCTAAAAAATGAAGTAGAAATAAAAGTGATTAGTTAATAATAGTTATAGTATGTATGTATATGTTCAATAAAGGCCAGATCTGATGGAGAAGGGACCCAGTGTAACCAGGCCATTATGATCATATCTGACGGCTCTCCTGACACATACGGGGAGGTGTTTGAGAAATGGAACAGGCCAAATATCACAGTGAGTTCTCTCTCTCTCTCTCTCTCTCTCTCTCTCTCTTGTCAAATAAGTAACAAGAAAATATAAAAAGATTCTCAGATATTTTTAAAATATGTAATCTGATCAAATTTCTTCATTGGCTATTTACCCTCTTTAGGTACGGGTGTTTACCTATCTGATTGGCAGAGAAGTGAAAGATTCCAGAGAAGTCAGTTTAATAGCATGTGCCAATAAAGGTAAGTGTCAATTCTATTTCGTATAAAAATATCGGTCAGTCTTAAATGAGATATGCTTGCGCATGCGTACTCAGTTAGCTTGTGACATGCGGCTGGGTAGTCAGCCTGAAAATAGATGCGATCTATTTCTATCAGAATTATAATCTAAAACAAACGTAGTTTGTTTGCTTAAGTTGGAAACATTTTTGCAACGGAGTTGCAATCTTTTATGCGGCATTTATATTGATCTGTAACGTAGTTACACATTGTAGGCTACGAATCATTTGTGTGCCAAATTTAATTTCAATATGGCGGCCGAAAGCACGTGTAGTGCTGTTTTACCGGGCCTTTCAAAACCCGCAATAGATACATGTAAGAATAGCGAGGACGTTAAAGCAAAGAAAGTAAAAACTAGAACAGGAAAGGGGAAACTAGACGAAAAAGCAAAATCTAGTCATAACAGTGATGAATATTTGACTATAATGAAAAATATACAAGAAACTGTGCAGAGACAGGAAACGAAAATTAACAGCGTCGTGGGACGCATAGATACTTTAGAGAAACAGTACCTGTATCACGATGAATATTGTGAGGAGAATTATGAATTTGATGAACAGTATGATGAAAGGTTGGAGGATGAAACATGCCCGGAGGCAGGTACTAGTAGCACAAACAGATTTGATGATATGACGAAGAGATATAAATTAATAGAGTATACAGATGTGGAAGTTGACAGTGTGTTGGCGAGTAGTGTCAATGATTTGTTCACCAATGGGATAGTAGATCATTCAAAGTATACAGAACTTACCAAAGATGAAAATAACTCACGGCCAAAAAACTGTGAAAGTTTGGTGATAGTCAAAACCAATAAAATGGTATGGAACATTATTCCTCAATATGCCAAAACAAATGATAAGAAGTTACAGGATGTTCAAATGTCAGTTGTAAAAGCAGCTACGTTGATGACTAAAGGAATAGACAAACTGGCTAAGTTAGAAACAGGAAANAGCATATATGCAACACAGTAAATACAATATAAGAAAAACAGATAGGCCAATTGTCATGAAACACACAGGAGTGGTCATTTCTGCTAAAACGCAGGTTGAGTTAAAAATCAGCTTAATCGGGCCATTATTTTAAAGAAATGCCGTTTTTTCACATTTCCTCAGATTCATTTCTTAGGCATGTTAACAGTTTCATTATTTAATTAATAAGATACGTAAAAGTGTTTGTTTGGCATTTCCTGCATCTTTACAACATTGTTAGTTGATTATGTAAAAATGATGGTAAACTTGTTATCGTGTATTGTGTAATAAAGTGTCAAAAATGGAAATAAACTCATATCATTGCAGTTTGTCAGATTCAATCATTAAAATTTGATGTTGAATTTGCAGTTTAACATAATGTACTTTTGCATCAGAATTGACAGTAGCCCATTTTGTGCATAGTTATTTCCTGTTTTTTGTCTGTACATTTGACAGCTTTGCTGCCTTGTTTTATATTACAATGGATTTATATTTCAGTTAACAAGTGGATAAGTACCAATTTATTTAAGGTCAAAGTAGCCTAAAGTTTAAGTCTTTAAGTTCAGTTTGCTTTGTGGAATCAATTCTAGTCTGCTTAGAGGACATAAAAAATAGTACTAAACAAATTCCCCAAGTCACACGTGTAACTGTACTTGGGGGGATATTGTTGCTGCATGTATTTCTCAGCTATCATTTCCCCGATTTCTTGATGCCATAAAGTGTCACTCTCAATACCTTCTGTATAATTATGTAAACCTAGGCTTAATATGCACTGCTCATACAGGCAAACTGTCACTATATTTACCATAGCCTAGGATACCAAATATCAGATTTCAATAAAAGCACACTTCACCCCACTTCACCCCATCCCTTTCCTAGATACTTTCAATATCATATTATATATTTTTTTGATTGAAAGGATACAATTATCTGTAAGAGACAGATCCTCAAGCAGAGGGAGGCACTCCATTTTCTCACAACTCTTCAGCTGGTTTCCTTTTAGTTTCAGGTTCTTAGCACATTGAAAGCTCTCACCTCCACTGAGGCTGGAAAGTTTGTTATTTGACAGGTCTATACACTCTGCTGTGCACATGTACTCAGTGTGACGGAGGGTGGTTAATTCTTTGTTAGATAAGTTTATTGATTTGGCTGACAGGCCTTGTTCTTCTATAGCATTCTCTATGAGAAATTTACTCCCTGAAAAAAAAAAAAAACAAAATGCATAAAGTAAATGGTCAGATTCTATTTCGTATAAAAATATCGGTCAGTCTTAAATGAGATATGCTTGCGCATGCGTACTCAGTTAGCTTGTGACATGCGGCTGGGTAGTCAGCCTGAAAATAGATGCGATCTATTTCTATCAGAATTATAATCTAAAACAAACGTAGTTTGTTTGCTTAAGTTGGAAACATTTTTGCAACGGAGTTGCAATCTTTTATGCGGCATATATATTGATCTGTAACGTAGTTACACATTGTAGGCTACGAATCATTTGTGTGCCAAACTTAATTTCAATATGGCGGCCGAAAGCACGTGTAGTGCTGTTTTACCGGGCCTTTCAAAACCCGCAATAGATACATGTAAGAATAGCGAGGACGTTAAAGCAAAGAAAGTAAAAACTAGAACAGGAAAGGGGAAACTAGACGACAAAGCAAAATCTAGTCATAACAGTGATGAATATTTAACTATAATGAAAAATATACAAGAAACTGTGCAGAGACAGGAAACGAACATTAACAGCGTCGTGGGACGCATAGATACTTTAGAGAAACAGTACCTGTATCACGATGAATATTGTGAGGAGAATTATGACTTTGATGAACAGTATGATGAAAGATTGGAGGATGAAACATGCCCGGAGGCAGGTACTAGTAGCACAAACAGATTTGATGATATGACGGGGCCGTAGCGATAGTCCGAAGGTTCAATAGTCCGAAGGTTCATTGGTCCGAATGTTCACTATAGAACCTTCGGACCAATGAACCCTTGATTACAAAATCGATGAAAACGTTACCACTTTTCGGACCAATGAACCTTCGGACCAATGAACCTTCGGACTATCGAGACGCCCCCGATATGACGAAGAGATATAAATTAATAGAGTATACAGACGTGGAAGTTGACAGTGTGTTGGCGAGTAGTGTCAATGATTTGTTCACCAATGGGATATAGTAGATCATTCAAAGTATACAGAACTTACCAAAGATGAAAATAACTCACGGCCAAAAAACTGTGAAAGTTTGGTGATAGTCAAAACCAATAAAATGGTATGGAACATTATTCCTCAATATGCCAAAACAAATGATAAGAAGTTACAGGATGTTCAAATGTCAGTTGTAAAAGCAGCTACGTTGATGACTAAAGGAATAGACAAACTGGCTAAGTTAGAAACAGGAAATGACACGAGTGAAGGGCTTGGAAAACTCATTGATATGTGTTTTGACCTAAAGCGCCACCTGTGAGTAGTTACAGAAGAATGAGAATAAAAAGACATGTGTGAATTAGCGTGTTCGTCTTTATTTGACATGGTGTCAGAAGCGGGATAAGAAGTGCCGTGAAAAATCGGACTGAACTATCTCTAGGGGTACTAGAGAGAGAGGAAACTCAAATCCATTGACGTAATGGCTAAATTCCATCCTCCGGAGAACTTTAGAACGAATGGCCGGAATGGCGCCAACGCTTCATCAGGTATAGACAGGCCACTAAACTGGACACGGAGGCCGGGGGAATACAAGTATCAGCTCTGATTTATGCTATGGGAAAGGATGCAGAACAGATATTTTCTACCTTTAAGCTATCCACAGCAGATGCTACGGCAGAAAATTCAGGTGAGTCCGAGGCAGAGAATTTTGACGTTGTTATTGCCAAGTTTGACGAGTATTTCATTCCAAGGAGGAATATTATTCATGAAAGGGCAAGATTCCGTCAACGTCGACAGATACCTGGAGAATCAGTTGAGACTTTTTATAGAAACTTAGTGGAACTTTCAGAAAATTGTGAATTCACCAACAAGGAAGAAGAGATAAGAGATGCTATTGTAATTGGAATCACCGACAGAGATTGCTCATTAAAACTCCAATTAAAAGCCGACTTGACCCTGAAAACAGCATTAGAGATTGTTTGCAGTACGGAACTGATCAAATTGCAAAACAGTACTAATCCAAGTGTTGCAAATGTGAGTGAAGTGGAGAAAGGAAATAGACAAGCCAGAGGTAAACCCAGAGGTCAAAACAGTCAACAAAGAGGTCAGCCCAGACGATGTGGACAATGTAACCATATACTAGACCACAGACATGTAACATGCCCAGCACAAAACAAAAAGTGTAATAAATGCTATAGAATTGGACACTTTGGTGTTGTGTGTCGGAGCACTCGTACTTTTAAAAGCAGTGCTAGTAAACAAATGGGTAGTGTTCATGAAGTTATTGCAGATGACAATGATGATGTAGAATGTTTCCTTGGATCATTGTTTACAGAGAATAGTAGTAATGATTCAGAATGGAATGTTAAATTAGACATGAATGGTCAGTCTGTAGATTTCAAAATAGATACAGGGGCAGATACCAGTGTAATTAGTAAGGCAATGTATGAAAGTCTAAAGCCAAGGCCCACACTCTCTCCCACCACAGTAGTGTTGAATAGTCCAGGTGGAAAATTAACCAACATTGGCAAGTTTGTAGCAAAAACAAAATTTAAAGAAAAAATGTATACATTTACTGTACATGTTGTCAGAGAGAATGTGAGTAACTTGCTTGGAAGAAGTGCTTGTGTTGACATGGGTTTAGTAACTAGAGTGTTACAGGCATATTCAGTTGGTACACTTAAGAGTGGCNCGAATAAATGAAATATTCATTAATAGTTTTACTTTGTAGGAAATTGCAATCAGCCATTTTGAAATGCCTTGTCTCTTTGATTTCTGGATGTGAATTCGAAGGGCCCAAAAGACCCATACTTAACAAGCAAATATTGAAACAAAGACAGATAATGTTAAAATACAACAAGACACTTAAGCTCAAAGAAAAACGATTCTGCAACGAATATCAAACCCAATTTAACTTAGTGATTTTTTCTCGTTATAAAGCAAATCTAGCCTAAGGTTGGTCTCTGCTGAAGATTTCAATTTCACTTCCTCCTTGCTAAATTACCATCCAAATGATAAAAAGTGTAGGCCAGTAGTGATGCACCCTCTTTAAACCTGAGCTGAAACCACTCAGGAAACCAGTTCACTTTCATTCTTACCTAACAACCTGGTGGTGGTATTACCAGTGGATATTTTTGCCGCTCTGGAGTGACCAATCATGGGCAGTTTGGTGGACACAACTCTGTGTTCCCCTATATAGCCTAGTGTGTATACATTGGATTCACCTAGAAAAGGGGTAATTGAATACATGCCATTATGTGTTTCACAAGAATTAGATACTTGAAATAGGATGTAAATGATTATGAGTGAGAGAGAGAAAAAAACTCAATAAATAGCTGAAATACAACTTAATTCAAACCAGTTTAACACCTGCATGCCTGTCACACACACAGATTATATTAATTTCACATGAATGCTTCAAAAAGGCCCTGACGTCCCAAACGTCACCTACCTCCAGTGCCCTTATATCTCATGAACGTGGTCTTCTCCTCCATCATGGAGTCCACGGCAATCTTCTCGTAGTAGTTGGAGGTGATGATGGCTATGGTAGGCTGCTGGGCCCGCTGAATTATGGGCATTTGTTTGACAACCTTCACCTCTGAAACAAATAGAACATATAACATCAAAATGCAGTGTTTGACTTTATTCGCCAGCCTGGGAAATTATATGGAAATGTATTAATTGTATGACAGGTTTACTTTCAGCAAAAGAAGATGCCATAAAATACATTTTTGGTAGGTATTAGTTTTACCACTTTATTTTACTTTCATAAAACACAGAAAGTTCTACGGATGAACTTGGATGTAGCTAGTAAACTTATTACTCCCCCTTTTCCTTCACACACACACACACACACACACACACACACACACACACACACACACACACACACACGCACACACACACACACACACACTTCCTACCTGTGTTTGGATTAGTGACCCAAATAAACTTCACATTTACCTTGAACTCAAACACCTTCAGTCAGCCTCTCCACTATACCAAATCTTCACCCTCTCTCAACATTCACAAGCCAGCAGGATAAACTAAGTCTATCTCACCTGTCTTGGCATCCTTGTGCACCTGTCTCATCCAGCTTCCCTGGTCCATCTGGACAATCAGGCTCTTGGTCTTCAGCTCGTCCAGCACCATGGATACCAGGCCAGTGTCCACACTAGTCATCCTGAAATAAGGAAATCAAAATTTAAGATGAATAACAGCAAAAAATTACGAATATGAATGATAAACTGGCAGCTGTTTGAGCCAAAATCTTATTTTTTATTTTTACCTACGGCCAACAAACCATGGTGACTTGTTGATTTGCTTTATAATGATAGCAAAATGTTTACCCGAAGATAAATTGATAATGAGTAAGTCTGAGCCAAGGTGGTTCTTCTTCTTCTTATTTTTATTACTTTTCACCTATAGTCAACAAATCATACTACTGAGATTTGTTGTAGACTAAAGCTTGTTCTAGTTCAATGGACAACACTGGGAGCTCTTATCGTGAACCAGAGGCTGGTGGACCTACTGGGTTTGAGTCCCACAATGATAACTGCGACTTGTTGCCTACTTACTGTACAATGTCATCCACAGACAGTACATTGGGATAGGCGGTCTCTAGTGTGGTGAGAACCTTCTCCCTGGCAATCTCCTCATCCGACCTCTTGTCAACTTTCTGTAAACCTGGAAACACAAAATATCCGCTAGGTAAAACCTCGGTTGATACCTGTGAAGTTCTCCCATGTTAAATTAGGCTATCTGGTTTTATTCTTATTTTGAAATTCTTAAATGCAAATTTTATAAATGCTACCAAGCAGTACTAGCTAAGTCTTGTGACTTGTTTCACCAAAAGGAAGGTGTTATTCTATTATTTAAGATTTGCAACAGCTCATACAGAAAAGAAGTTCTTCCCATTTTTTTCCCTTTTGCTTTTCTTTTGGTAAATTCGAAAGTGAAAAATCTTTAACTTTTGGAATAATGAGGACAGTGGTATGAGTCAAGGAAATGAAAATGGTGTAAAGGGAAAAGTTAAATGTAGGATTCAAATGTTCAGGATAAAAGAATTACCAAGTTGCAAAGGACTATTCAATTACTTTCTGCAAAATGTATCAGAAGTACTTGCTCGTAAAATATTTCTTAAAATATTGTGAACCATATTCAATCAGAGTGCAAATTTTATATTTTATGGCAGCCCTATTTTCATAAGTCTTAGAAAAGAAAATTTCATATTCTTTAAGTGCAGGCTTATTTCAATACTAGTAAGTTCTTTGAATTTGGAGCTCTCTCTGAATTCTTGTTAACAAGTTTCTTTTTGCAATTTTTTTGACAATTCAAAGCATCTGCAACAGAGCAACAGAAACTGCCCTTTCCATCTTCCCCCCACAATAAATTAAACATGGCAATGGTAAAAAAAATATAATAAATAAAATAAAATAAATAAAAATAAAAAAACAGCACTGCAACAACATGCACAGCACATACCAACAACATAAGACAACAACATCATTAACAATGAAATCAACCATGTAAAACAAAACCCATTCCCACACAGTGCAACACATGACATGCATATGATTAATTCAGGCCATATTCTTACACAAATACACAAAATGACTCTGTAAACCACGATTCAGTGATCATATAATAATCATAAAAGTTTTTTTGGCATAAAATCTGCAGTGACTGAAAGAACATTATATTACTGAATTTGAAATCAAAAATACTACAGAGTACTTCATTTTGTGTATAGCTGAACAGGCTCACCAATTACAGACATAAACAACTGTCAATTAAAGATTCAGTGTGACATTTTTGAATTTGAGAATCTCAGTGCTCAATCTTCTTGAGCAACAATCACAAGGCATTTAGATTTCCACAAACACTACAGGACTATAGTATGGTTTCCCTCCACCTTATTTACAAAAGGATAAATACAATTACATTGTTTAGAAATAAATAAACAATTTAAATGGCAGGGGGAGGGGGTGTTATTAACAAAATAAAATATACCCAAATGTTAGTAATTAGACCAAGCATAAGCAGTTCAGCAAAGCAAGCAGATATCAAACCAACTTACCATTACTATCGCCTGTCAGAAAAGGGAAAGGAGAAAAAAGCAATGTATTTAATAGAAAGTTAAAAGCAACGCAGCCCTGCATTCTCCAATGTTAACTATCCATGTTCAGGGGCACCTATGGAATAAGAAAGTGTTTATTCCGGCCCTTGAACCTGGATACATGCTTTGCCCATGTACAAGTGCTACAATTATATACGACAGTCAGTACAACACTGTACCCTCCTCGGTTACCATTCAGTGATAAGCTCTACCACTATACCCACATGTAATACAACATAACACTGTTGTTTTTATCTTTCATGCTCAGATTGATTTCATATATGAACTTAAAAAAATATATCAAAGGATAAATGAAACGAGTACAAAATATCTTGCCTTCAATATTTTTCATTACAGAAATGCAATAAGCTTCAAACAAAAACATTAATTCTGTTGACCATTTTGTAAACAAGGGTTCAAAAATAGATAATATTTGTGCGCTCCATCTTTGTCTTTTTTTTTTTTTTTTCAGTTCCATAAAGACAAGGTCACACCTGCATGGAGTGGCCTTGAATCATTTTTTAGGAAGGTCACAACTGTTTAACAAGATACATAATGATCCAATGCAAGGTGATGTACTAGTACAGTAGTTGATGATATGAAATTACAGCTACTATATACAAGGCAAAAAATCGGATGAATGCAGAGCTAATGAAACGACACAGTTTTAAATACAAAGCACATAGATTGGTCCCTATATTTTAAGAGCTAATTCTTTTTCTATATTTGAGATACTAATATTATGTGAAATGCTCAAGAGGCAGTTTTCTTCCTATAGAATAAAATCACACTGTTGCTTTATATCATAGCTATAGAAGAGTCTTAAGTAAGATTGGTTTTTTTCATAAACAGCCAAGTAAATTAAATATTAACATATAATTGTTGTTATATGACAACCTTGTGTCTGAGTCCAATAAAAATGCTTAATATAAAATATGTCATTACACATCTCAACCGAAAAAGTTAAAAGGGATGATCTCATTCACATGTTAGTATGATAAAGATGATGGTTGTTGAAATAGATGAGCAACAATTTGAGAATAAAAAGATAAAGAGTTCAGGTGATCTGAGAAGAAAACAGAATGTTTTAATTTTAACTTCCAGCAAATTTCTTTGTTTTCTAATTGAATATATTTCTGTCAGGGAAATAAGATTGCTTTATATGTTTAATTTCACAGAAGCTTCCTTCCAATTTTAATACAGAGATGCAAAGTGGAGTATTAGTATCTTACTGTCTGGCTTAAAAAAATGAAGGAAAAGTTCATGAGAAGTATCAACAGATAACTACGGAAAAAAAGTCTACTAGTAACAGTATAACCAGGAACTATCCTTTTCTGACACTGAAAAATATACCTTACTTCTTCAACAAAGAAATGCAACAAGATGCACAAGAAGAGTTGAGCAATCGTCAAAAAACAACCATGAAGAACAACTTCTAGTGGAACTGTCTACTGTGACCATGAAATGACAACATCCAGAGAGACATGCCACAACTACAACAGTCTGCCTAAACAACATTCCATCTGAGATTTAGTCCAACTCAGTGAGGTGGTGCTCCTGATTGTGCTAGGTGTGCTCTGCCAGCTGCAATCATCCCATTTCTTTCCTTTTTTTCCTTGCAATCATAAGTTTTTCTCTTACTTTTATCCACAATGAACTGATGATAATTCTACATATTTGCGTGACATTATTCAATCTTCAACAAGTGCATTATAACTTCGTTATCTTTTTCATATATATATATTTTTTTCTATAGTGCTCAAATTGATGTTTAGCCTCAGAAAACAGCTGGCAATTATTCAGCACACCTAATTTAAACACAACTGAGCTGGTTTACTACTAGGGGTGTAACACCATACAACACAGAACTGAAAAAATAATAACAACGTGGAATGTAATGAAAGGATCGCACTCACCTTGTCCTACTTCTACTAGAAATTCTCCGCCTAGAGTTCACAGTGAAGCAGAGAAAGAGTAGAAGAGAGTTTGAAGATATGAAGTGGAAACTGAAGCTTACAGTCTGTATAAGTAAATGAAAGAAAGCATTGATGGGGAGGGTGCTGCTGTATTGTTTAAGGAAGGCACACAACTTTTTTCCTACTGCATATGACATTATGGAAAATTTTCAAAAATTTTCTTGCTGACATCAGTATATTTTTTCCATCTACCTTTAAATAATTCTGACATGATCCCAACATATTATTTTGAAGTTTTTGGAATCATATTTTCAAGGTACTTCAAACAAAGCAAAACAAAGTCAAGATTGCCTGAATTTTGTTATCATTTACCATAAATGTTAACTGGCTGTGTTTGGATTTATTTTCAACATTATCAATAACATCTGTTTAACTGTCAAGGACAAGAAGTATTTCAGAAATATGCACCATATGGTGTGTATATCAAAGTCTAATAACAGGGATAAAAAAAATCACATTTAATAAGCACAGAGTTGACCAATACCTTAGTAAGCTTTTAGGACTTCTAAAAATAAGCTGTAATGATATGTTAACGGCAAGAATAAATGAGTAAAGCACTACTATGGCACCCCTTTCCAAGAGCTGGGTTTATACCAGTGGCTCCCTCTATCTGGGTGAACACAAAAGTGGCTCCCCCTACAGTTTGCCCTACCTGGAGACATTGGTGCCTCTTCCTCGTCCAGCGGCTTTAACTCAATGTCCACTTTCCTAGCTTGTGAATACATGGGGTTCTGCATCAGTTTCATGCATTTCTTGATAAAACCCACATAATCTGGAAGACGAAATGGACTTAAACTTAAGTTATGGATGAAGATTAAGGTATTACATTTTAGAGTGCTCACTAAAAAAACAGATTTACCTTGACACAAAATGTTCTATTACCTGTCTTTAAAAACTTTCCACTTTTGTGAAATGGGCCTTTGAGATCAGCAGATAACACTCTCTCTCTCTCTCTCTCTCTCTCACACACACACACTTCTCTGGGTTTGTTTGTAATACCTGCATGTTACTTTCTACTTACCATCAAAGGCATCTAAATTTTTTTTATCTCTAAGTTTAAACCATCTCTCAGTTGACACGAAAGTATACTTTAGTGAGAACTTCTGCATCCCTTACCTCTGGGGAAATCATGCGGCTGAACTAAATCCCTGAAAAATTCATAGGCTGTGGTTACACGATCTAGGTACGACGCAGTATCTACGAACCAGAACTTGATCAGGCGGCCTTCCTGTAGAAGAAAAGAACAAGCAATACTATTGAAATCACTTCACATGGTGGGATAAAAATAATACTCAAAATTTTACCTGGTGACAAGCCAATGTTTTCATGAGAAGAGCAGGGATGAGGTGAGAGTAAAAAAATATGGGGTCCAGGGGAGTGCTAGGCCAATGATATTTTTGGCTCCCAAAATGTCAGAAATCCTCCAATAGATGGAAAAATCTCATTCCTGAAAGAGTCTTCTGTTTACATCTTGCATAAGATTTCCATTGTGTCTCAAACATACAACTTGAAAAACATTCTTCAAATTTATAAATTATAAGACTTAGTGTGCAGCACTTAAAAAATGGCCAACCTGCTGAAAAGAAGTTTCAATCTCATATATCTCAAAAAAGACCAAATACATATTCTGACTGCAAAGTTAACCTCCTAAATCCCACGCAGCTATTACAAGGACAAACAAATCCATCACAAAAAAATCTGTTACTGGAACATTTGCTGGTCTCTACAACTCGCTACCAGTCACATATGGACACTTGACTAACCAGTGCCACACAAAAAACACTTAGTTTTTCCATTTGTCATAAACAGCAAGACTCTAAAGGACTGCTAAAATAGCCATGTGCTTCAATAAAAACCAAGTGTACAGCCTGGAGTTTCATACTAATGGGACCTATTCAATGAAAAAAAAAAAGTAGGACTTTTTTTTACTATGTCGATAACGACCTGAAAATTTCAGGACACCACCCTTTTTTAACCAACTTCAATGAGAAAAGCAATCTTTCCCTGAAATGGCTATGCAGACACATTGGGCTAGTTTGCACTTCTATTCTGACATCAAAAAGTTGTCTTTTAACCTCTGTTTGAGCTACACTGTATGGGAATGCTGGTGCCCGAGAGAGGATAAAAATCTACATCAACCTACTCGTTACACATCTGATATAAACCCAGCATCCTGGCATCAAGATTTTAATCACAGTTACTAACAAGCTGATAAAATGATGACATTTCTGATATCTCAGCAACCCCTTGGGAGGTGTAGAGAACCAACTGTGTTTATTTTGTGAAAGGCAATTCTTAAATGGAAGTTTCTGATACCCCTTAATTACTGTATTTGTAATGTGATCAATCTCTGTGCAATTATAAAACCAATTCCGTGATATTCAATTACCTAAAAAAAAAAAAAGAGCTAAGTAATATATATAGTTGGGTAATTTTTTTCAAAGATCCTATTCTTTTAATCTTACAAATCAAAATAAAATGGAGTACTAGTATCACCATTTCCACTATTTTCCTGTTCAAATTTTCACTATCAAACTAACCATAAACCTCAATCCTAAAATGTTCCTTACCTTAGTGATTTTTTTCCAATAAAAAAATCAAAAATTGTCAACTTTAAATCCAGATCAATCCTTTTTTTTTTTGGTACAATCACTAATCACAAATCAGTTATCCAATGTGTACTAAACAATCCACAATAGAATCCCAGTCCACAAGAACTTCGAGTGAATATCTAGGCGCTGGTATAAGCACTGAGGCAAATGTCAACTTTAAGTGGAAACCACTTTGCGGGGAAACAGTTCTAGTAAACTCCTCTAGTCTAGCTGCACTAATCTTGGCGTAAAGAAGTGTCCAGTCCCAGATAGCCAATGTCCATTCAGTCTGTTAGCACTGTGGACAGCAGTTTCAGTGCAGCAACATTAAACAATATATAATATCAAGAATGACTCCTAGACTCCATTACAAGTGTAGTTATTGAACATCGTACAATGTAAATGTGTATAAATGTACTTAATTGCTGTTTCAGCAGTATTTTTGTCTACAATAAAGCCTCCTCCTCTACGAATAACTCCGATACAATGACAACGACAACACCAACAGAACAGCGTCCAGCGAGTGTCCACTTATAGCCTGCCTGACGTCCAATCAGTACATTATCCCATTGTTCTTCCTTCAGATGATAAAGATATGTCTCCTCCACACAGTGGTCACCCCTGTCATTACCCTGGTCAGTCTCCAGGCTGGAATGTTGACCATGTGCTGCTCACAGTTAACTTCCCTATACACACACATATGTAGATGAACACTTTCAATAGCACTTTTAGGCAGGTTGACTCCAAATCACAATCTTAAGGCAGAAGGTCTATATTTTCCCTTTCAATCTATTTTCTCAGCAAGTGAGACTTTCTGTTGATCCACAATTACATCAGTTTAAGAGGCAGAACATGTTGTATTAATTTGACCATGCCACAACAAAATCAGCCTTTTTTTGTTTCTTATAAAACAAGTCGTGTTTATGCCAACCGGTTTTTACTTTACATAAACATGATGACCTGGGAGGGGAGGTGGGCCCAGGCATATCTTTTTCTTTTTTAATTTCATGTGCCAACTGCAGCGAACTCTTGAAAGTACAAATGTTTAAACACACACTAAATTTGTTCCATCTTGACTTAGACCAAAGTTACACTATACCCCGCCCTGGTACAAACTTGTGAGACCTTAACCACGTAACTCTATGGTTGCTGTGGAAACCAGACAGACATCAAAGATTTAATGTTTAATTTTTATGTCCCACAGCAAGGGGAAATTAGCACTGTTTCTTGGGCACTTAGTTTGAAATGTCAGTTTACTAAATAAAGAAAAAGGAACTGTTGGATACCAACCAAACACAAAGTTTGCTTAAGATGTTTTTTTTTTTTTTCTTTGTTTTCAGAGTTTTGTTTTGGAAATTTATTCTTCAAGTGAGATGAAGAAAAAAAAAATCTAATTAAGCTTACTTGTTCACCTAACGTGGATACCCGTTTTCGTGGCAGAATATTCCAACTGAATAATGTGCATAAATTTAATGACATACCATACAGAGAAAGATACTTGGCTGATAATAGTCTAGGTTATAACATAGTCTGACACCCTGGCCTATGGTGGTGCAAGGAGACCAATATTACACAATAATTTCCCATTTTGGCTATACTGTATGAACCCACATGAAGTAGCCAGTCACAGTATGTTTAGTTACAACATGTCTGTGTAACCTGGTAAAGGGAATATCACCTCTTTCCCATGTCCTATGCAGCAGCCAGCTGCTCTCAGCAGCTGTGTCACACTGACACGACTTTCTGATTTCAAAGATATATGTTACTTTGGCACGAAACATAGCTTGCTATTATAGGACATCAGTATATACATGTATATATTAATATAATTTAGTGTACTTTTGCATCTGGCCAAAAAACAATGCGTGTGTGCAGGGAATGAGTATGCACACAAAACTGGTTTCATGAAGGAACTTGAACCAAATGTTGATCTTATTAACATTAAGACTGAAAAACTCGGCCTATTTTGATGCAGATTAAATCAGTTGTATTCCACCTGTCTGAGGATACTGGGCGACTTTCTTAAAAACAAAGAAATGGCTCAACAACTTTTTAACAGACAGTTGTCATTTCAGGTTAATATTACACTTTCAATCCAGATTAAAAGGACAACAAAATTCGTAAGTTTTAAAGTGAAGTACTGAAGTTAAAACCATCTTTCAACTGAAGTTCTTCAGTGACTCTGGCTTTCAAAGTCTTGTCCACTGACCATGCACAATTACGCCTCTCATCAAATAACAGTTTCCTCAATTCTTAAAATTCAAAGTTTCTCTGCATCTGAGTATGCAAATACAGACTATTTTGGAAGCAATAAAAATGCCTAAGTAACCCCCTTTTATGTGATTAAGATGTATAAGTAAGGAAGACATTATTGTAATTTCTTAAACACGTCATTAACTACCACTATAAAATAAGTCTGTCTTCTCACATTTAAACTGTAAGAATAGAAAAAATTAAAATAAGAAATAAAAAAAAAAAAAAAAAAAAAAGCCCGAGTCCTTACAAGGCAATGTTATGTCCATCTCCTAAGCCTTATAAGAAGCCAACGTACTGTCCTATGAAAAATCAAGATCCAACAATACTCAAAAATTCTAAACCACACTCACATTAATTCCATAAGGAAGTTAGTATTTCAAACTTACCTTTTTTATCTAAAACACATACTCTAAACTCAAATCTTCCTGCCTACGTGTCCCATCCTATAAAAATAATAATACAAAAAAACCTGCCCCTCTCCAGCTCTGCGGCCAGTCAACTGGTCATCCAGATGTGACCAATATGCTAATGGCAAGAGGAATTAACTTGTTATAGCAAGCTATGACCCATTCATCACGACTACTGTGTTCATGTCACTGTGACAGAGCATGATAAGGCCTCCACAGACACAGGGTCCTTACTGGCCAGACAAAAACAGTAGGATAAGTTTTGAGAGGAAAAAATTAGAGTAAGACTTCCTTCAAACCTGACCTGTATGTAAGTCCTTCTCTTGCAGATGTCCCCGCTATGTTTGAAGTAAAAAAGGTGACTCTGTTTTGAAGTAACTCAGTAGCTAGTAACAAGTCCAACTTCAGTCATCTGCACACATGCTGCAGCCATGACTCTAGCACAGATAACATTGGATAAGTATGTAAAAAAAAAAAAAAAATTTGAAGCGCCAGTTTTAACATACACATGCACTCACGCACATACCACACCATTAAATGGTCATCATAATGAGAACAGAGAGGGATAACCTCATAAATAAAGGATTAAACTGATAATTATTTCATTCTTTTAGTTCTGAATCGTGAAACTGAGCTGTATATATCACAGTCGTAATAGCCCGTCCAAATGCTGTCAATTTCTCAACTGTATTGCTCTGTGTGAAAACAGGCCTTTGTCTACCTTCTTTAACTGCAAAATAATACCTAATATCTGTCTCTCGTAATGATCCACTGCTAAACAACGGCAAAACTTTCATCAATATAGCATCAAATATCAGTAAAACTACAGTCTTTTTCTTGGCTAAGAAGTGCATCACCAACTGATACAGAAATATTGGGTCCAGCTGCACGTTCCCCTGGCTTATCTTTCAAGTACTACATTTGTTAATTAATGTCCTTGTACATGCAAGGAGACAATAAGGTTCAACTACTGACATCAAGACTTATTTGCTATAAGTACAAGTACAAATGCAAAAATATAATCACGGTGATTTTGTGATGGTTGTCAGATTGATTTTGCAGTGGTACTAGTACATGCTGACACAAATTATAATCTTGTAATCTGGAATCAAGGAATGTAAAATAGCATACTATATGATGTACCATACATTTTTGATATCATACATGTAGGTTTGTTTAGTGATGGGTAAAAACTAGAAATTGTTGCCTCCTCCCCCCCACCATCTCTCTCTCTCTCTTCTGTCTGTGTGTGTGTGTGTGTGTGTGTGTGTGTGTGTGTGTGTGTGTGTGAAAGAGAGAGAGAGAAAGGGGGAGAGGTGATAACAAAATGTGACATATCCCTCCCTATCTCACACACAATCTATCTCCAATATCTAGCACTTAATCGGTCCACCTCCTAAAAATGACATAAATATATCCCATTCCTCACAATGCTCTTAGTATTACCACATACCTTGACATCCAGGCCTGTATTAATATCACAGTCTTTGACTGTTATCACTTTGAAAATCAAGGCATTAACAACATGTCACAAACTGAACCTTCAGCTATTAACTGCTCTTAATGTCCACAGGCGGTCACTTTCTTACCTAATGGGCATGGCTTAATGACCACCTTGGACCATTCTGTGTCCACTTAATCCGAGTGACCAGGTACTGAACATCTTCATTGTGATCCTATCTAGGCACGTACACTCAAAGTTCGGTAACACAACAAGGAAAAGAAAGCACTGTGGTTCGATGCTATCGGTCTCCACAAAACAACACTTTTCTCTCAGCTGTAGGCTATGAAATTACACAACAATTTTCTCAAGACTTCCAAGATGATTGTCTGACAGTATCTTCAAAAGTGATGCTTCTACCATTATCACATCACACTCATAGTTAAAATGTAGATTTTAGCCAAAAAATTACAAACAGCCTTTAATTAGTTTTACGATCCTATGGTAGTTTTTGTTTTCTACATAACCAATCATAATTTTCAAGTGATAAATAAATCTCATATAAATAAATCACATTAACTGGGAGCAGTAAATCACAAGTCACTGCATGGAAACACTGCAAAGCAAATATTGCCTTGATGCCATCCAGTGCTATAAGTATTCCACTTTCAAAGGATCACTTTGACATAAATAAAAGCTAATATTTTACCTGCTACATCAAAAACCCATGACCAAAGTGCTAAGAATGATGACTGATGTTGTCCTAAATGGTCAAGTGTCTGTAAAATGTTTCTTTGTCCCAAGCAAAGAGTGTTTGCTGCTTTAAAAGTCCCCAAGGGAGAGGATCAGGCAGTCTGATAAGCCTTCTACATGACGGAGGAGATTTGTGAGTGACATTCCTGCATGTATTAAGGCTTAAAAACCCAGCACGTTCATTAGCTATACCTTATTTCAGACAGTGATTTAGGTGACTGTAAAGCTAGTCAAACAGGAGACCGCATGCAATGATGCAGTCAACAAAGTGACAGAGGTTAATTGTGCTATCAATGCAAAGCAAACTGCTTGTTATAACAATCTAAATTGAGTTAAACTTCTTATTGCTATCAGCTAATGATCTGAAGATTCTTAATAATTTTGGGTGCTGAGATATTCCTTCCCCCCAATTCTAACTTTGTTGTTACTTACTGATTAACCTTAAACTTTGAGACTTAATCTCTCTACTTCCTTAAAGAAAGACCCTGGCATCATAGTTCAATTAGCAAAATTTAAGTTCTGAACTGGATAAAGATGCCCGTAGAGGCTATAACCTGGGATGAAAGGGTCCATCCTGGGCTTGTGCAAGCTGTGAGAATGGACAATGGCAGCTGCGTGGGAGGGGGGGGTGGGGGGGTGGAGGTGGAGTGGAGGTGGAGTGGAGGGGGGTGAAGGGGGTTGTAGGGTGGGGTGTCATGCTATCATCACTTACTGGTATGTGCATTCCAGATTTGGCATCTTCTAACCAACACTTGAACTCTAGCTGTAACTGCGGGGATGCGTCATCTTTGTCTTCTCCTGGAAAGTCCCAAAAACAATTAGGGGTTAGAACCTTAACTTCTACATAAAGATATGTCAACAATATCAGAGGTGTGTGTGTGTGCGCGCGTGTGCATGCATGCATGTGAGTATGTGTGTAAGTATAATTAAGATATAATTTAGAATAGAGAAATAAAAATGTGATTGGAAAATTGAATCAAATTCAATCTGTAGTCAACATGTATCCATAGTCATGCTTACATTAATCATTTTACAAAATAATTTCTAGTGGAAGGAGAAGGAAATGTTTTCTTTTGCAGAAAATAATATCATTCTCTGACTTTTTTCCATTCATCTTCGATTTTGCTCACAATAAAAAAAATGACTTTGAACAAAAATCATCTATAATTAATTAGTTGTAACATAACTAGAGAAAAGCAATTCTGATTATACTGACTGTTAAAGGTAATACGCTAGACCCAACATCTGCATTAAGTAAATGATTATTTGGGCACATCAACCGCAATCATTCTCTCTTTCCAAAATCCTGCTGCAGGCTATGTTGTTCAATTTTCAACAAGATAACCCAATAATTTTTATCTAACAAGATAAAGACATCAAAGAAGGTTCTGATTTGATTCCTTTGTTGGGTAGCTGTGAAGTCTGTACTGTGTGTGTGTGGCCAATGTAACTTGTGTGTTGTTCTCTACTTCTATGTAAACACATTAGGCAAGGGAACAAGTGTTGAAGGTGATACTGGAGCAGCAGTAGGTTAGCCACTGAGAACTTTCACTGTGCAGTCAAGATTGTGTGTGTGTGTGTGTGTGTGTGTGTGTGTGTGTGTGTGTGTGAGAGAGAGAGAGAGAGAGAGAGGAAAAAATCAAATGGATAAAAGAAAGTGTAAGCAGACTGTTTTTACCAATGTCCTTTCCCACCACGAGTCCTTTATGCTGCCCTCCAGCCTCATGAGCTATCTGGGTGGGGTCCAGCTCTTTCCTCCGCTTTCTCTCTATCTTTATTCTGGTGGCCTTCCCCTTTTTGGATGGGGTCATTACAATTTCCTCTGAAAGATCACAAGGACTTGGTGATTTACTAAAAATATTATGGTTACACCAACTTAAATACTTTGTTCTTAAAATTTTCAGTTTAGTAATTACAATTATTCCAGTAAAATAAATGTAAGATTAACAAAAAAAAAAAAAAAAAAAAAAAAAAAGAAAAAAAAAAGAAGAAAACTTAGACATATTTTTGGATAAATGAACCCATATCTTCCTCTAATAAGTACACGCATAAAAATAATTTACATTAGGCAGCCATGTGTTGGGCTGCATTTTGGCATAAGTAGTTGCTTCAACAGATAGTGACCTTTTAAATATTTCCAGTTACAGTTGTTGGTATACAAAATGTCAGAAAAAAATGAAAAGATCGTAAACATAAAATGGTAATTCATTAATGGACTAAAAAGTTGCTGTTAAACTTAATACAACTTATGGAAAAGGAGTTAACTCAAGACAACAACAAGTTAAGAAGTGAGATACTGTTTTTCAATCCACCTCGGATCTTTACATCATTTTCAGATATTATTTTACTGTAAGAATTTTACGAGATGAACAATCCTTACAATTTTTTTTTCAAGGAGAAAGGGGTGTGAATAAGTTGTACATGTGCTTTTCATGCCTCTCGTGTTATTGTTTGGTAACCATAGGAATAGCATGTATGTACAAAATTAATGTAGAAAACATGTTTCACCAGGCTATGGTCAGCACCTGGTCAGTACACCAGAACCTCACATCACCAATTGGTTAAAATGAATGGGTATTCATTCTGTGGTTTCAGCTCGAGTTTTCAATTTTCGAGAATGCCTCAACAGAATGTGACCCCTTTAACACGTATTGCTAAAAATTAGAGTATACGCATAGCAGAGATTCTCTGTTTAAAACACATTTGTAAAAGATGTCTATTATTCATGTCAATGGACCAAATGCTTCTTCCCATGGTGCAGCATTGCTACCACTACGTCTCACCTAACACAATCATGGGACACCTGCGATAAATGTATAGCAATGGTATATATATATATATATATATCACCACCATATATTATACAACATACACAGTGCCACCATGTTTCAAAGCAGCAGAAATATCAGCAACATGACTCCACTGTTCTTACTTTATCTCATCAAACACGCAACAAATCCTTAGGGCACTTTATTTATAACAATGCAAACATACAAATAATATGTTACTAGGAATTTATCAACTGAAAGTAAGAGATGGTGTAAAAAAAAAAATCATTATCACCATCCTCTCCTGGGGCCCCCATATTACAGCACAAAAACTGGAATGAGGATAGCTGGAAACCAGGATGTGCCATGTAGGAGATTGCCTTTGAAGATCTATTTTAGACAAGGAGGCCTAAGAGATGAAGGAAGTTGATAAAGACTTGCCCTATTGACTAAAGCCATTTAGGCAGATGAATGTATTTCTCACGGAGCTTCAGTCTGCTTTTTTTTTAAACAGATGAAGCAAAGATATATTAGTAGTGTATCATATAAAAAAGATTTAAAGATGACAGCTCCTACTCTCAAAGAGAGACAGATTTGTACTTGTACAATAAAATATAACTGTTTTCTGCAATTATTTAATTGACTTTCCAACAAATTGGAGAGGAAAATTACAACAAAGTCACTTTTTGTATTCATTTCAGAATTTGAATTACAAAAAGCTTTATTCCTCACAAAATCTGGTACAGCAACTTCAGCAAGTCACAATCTAAATATCATTATTATTATTCTTTTGGTGTTGTGTTTTGTGTTGTTCTAAAATACATGAAAAACCACACAGCAATCCACGTTCATCATTACAAATAAATCCTGCAGCATTATTCAACTATTCTGTTGTCAAGACCCAACATCCTGTGGTAAAATAACCTCTCAACATCCAAGTCATAAACCATGTTGTATTTATATATACTAGTAAGTGTGTCAGGACCTTCCCCGTACCCTGTGGTAATGCTTATGAGATCTGATTGTGCCAAGTCCCTGTGGTCAAGATTCTGTCTCTTGTGGGCTGACACATTCCTGCAGCATGACAGGACAATAAGCAAATAAATTACTGCATATACATGCAATATAGTGATGTTAAACTACCCATGGCTCTTGATATTATGAAGAGTGATGGAAAGTTTATTTTACAATTTCAGTTTGATCTTCAGGTCAGTTACTAGTAGGTAAAATTTTCACTATGGTAACTCATCAGAAAAATCTATTATTTGGGTTCAGTTGCTTTTTCAAAAGTATGAAACATTTGATCTCTTGGTGTTTTATTAAAGCATTTTCCTTTTTCAGAAATATTTTTGCACAAATGAAGTTCTCATTCGCACTAATACATTTGTTCAATTTTGTAGGTTTAGATATTTTTTTGATTTTTTAAAAAAATTTGGAGAAATAAATTTTAACTTTTAACAAGGCAAATATTCACTCATTACCCACATCTTCCTATTGCTGTGTCCAAGGCACAGACAGACATAGAAAGATTGACCCCTTTTTCATCCAATCTACTAGTTGACCTCCTGGACATGTGACAAACTGACCACTGCATGTCTGGTCCAAGCACACACCTCATTTGTCTCAATTCATCTTTTAAGTGCCATGTTTTTAACACATTAAGGTGACAAGATGTGTGGAGGGAATAAAGACACTGCCCTTTACTAGTAATCTATTGACTGATAACATCTATTGTATCACATCCCAATCCTTCCAAGCTGTCTATATTAGCTAACATACTGAGAGGAATTACTGTTCTTGCCTTTGTTAGTTGGCACATTTCTTAATACATGTACATGAGAGTTAGTGAAATATATTACATATACTACTAAGTAGTAGTATATTTAACACCCTAGAATGCTCTATGTCTATCTTGGTGTGGGATATATTTGTCTATCAGGTGCCTCCAAGGTTTTATACAAACACCAAGTGCTATGAAGAATCAACATCAGCATTTTGTGCAGTAACTATATATATATATATATAGCCCATCCCTGCATATTCTCTTGAGAGTGTTACTTCATATATCATCTCGAAGGTATGAATTGTAATACAAGTGAGGACTTATTTCTCTAAGGTAATGGATTCCTGATTGTGGATCACGATGTATGGAGGCAGGTTTGCAGTTGTAAATATATGATCTACCAACTACAGGCCTGGAGTGTGGTCCATTATACGTATTTCAAAAATAATAGAAAAGTAAATGAAATTATTATTATTATTTCTTTCATATATTTCTCAGCCAAATACAAAATCTCTGCATGACGCAATGCAGACAAATGTTTCTTTTACAATCTAAACCCAAATAGTTCTCTCCTTGTTGCTTTCCTTGTTCGTATCAGTCCACCAGTGTAAATTTGCCATGTATACCAGAAAACCCTCATACTCTTGACACACTATCAGTTGATTACACATTGAATTTTTCAAGAGAACTGACCAAGTTACTGCATACCAGTGTTTTCAATATGGTAGCCAGCAGCAGAATCAGCTATATTTACGGCCTAATGTAATGATACTGCTTACTCCAACGGTGTGTGAATGACAGAAATGTAAAAAAGACTGATGGTTAAGGATCCAAACTTGTAAAATTTAGAAATCTCACCCCTTTAATTTAACAAATACCTCAGTCAGTGTATATAACTTTTATACGGTTATTCAAATTAAGAGGCCTGGACAACAGAGTGGCTGCAATAAGAAAATGCTAAAATTAGTCATTATTATTGTTATTTTTAATCTGTCTCATACATTTATGGCCATTGTCAAAAAATTATATTTTACCAAATCAATGTTAGCTTGATGATATTGTGATCAAAATGTTCAAACTATATTGGGCTAATTTCAAATTTGCTTCTACCCAGTTAAATAATTTCAAGTGTTGGGAGAAATAAGTACTGTAACTACTGGCGTAGCTAACAGAGACTTACAACATAAGTACCGAAAATGTAAATTATGAACCAGGAAATTGAGTAGAGAGTTATACAGGAAATCCAGCTGTTCTAAAGCTTGTTACATTAGAGAGATTATAATTGTCTCCAGTACTGTAGCTCTCCCAGATTATGTAAAATCGTGCTTCTACAATCACGAATACAGTTGCCTCTGAAAGCAGTTGTAATGCTGACTATTGATTAGTTCTATGCTATTGAGACATGTGCTCAATCTTACCATTCTGAAAGAGCAATAATAATAATGTTAATATGAGAGGCAAATCCCAAATTAACAAATGTGATCAATTAAACAGGTACATGATATAATCTTTTTTTTCCATTTGATTTTGGCTTCTCACCCTGGTGTTCCTCCTATTTGTTTGTGCCTTAATTTCTCTCTGCCCTCCCCACCCCACCCCCCTCAACTACCCACCACCCTCAACTACCCACTTTCTCTCACTGCCTGACAACCCATCCATTTCTCCCTTTCTTCTCTCCCCCCCCCACAGATCTTTTCACTATCCTATACAAATTTCCTTTGCCTCATCTCAGTGTGCCAAGCACTCTTACCACACCATCATTTTAAGTCTTATGCTGTTCTTCTACCTTTTTCAACAACACCTACTGCTGTTAAATGATAACTTCAAAGCTCAAGACTCCATGAAAAATTAGGCCCAAGCCTTGTTTCCACTGAAGTCTAAGTACAGATAATCTCAGCAAGTGATCTAATTATGATTAGCTCATCACAGTAAGACATCTAATTGGCAAACAGATTACCTTTACTACAATGGTGGTGGGTGTGGCATCAGAGAGTTAACTAGATCTGAGCCAAAAATACTAATATAGCCTGTTGAGATAGGTGGTATAAAACTAGGTAGACCCAACTTAACTTGAAACGCGACTAAATGAACAACAACATGCACCAGGAATGTTAAATATTACCACAGATATACCTCACCTAAGTTCAAAGGGACCATCAACATGATAAAATAATTCAACTTTTCCTCCCCTCAATTCAAATCAATTTCTTGTTCAGCATCAGTTATCAGACAAAAAAGAGAGGGTGGTTGCAATAGGATAAAAATCCTCTAACAAACCCACAAATGCTTTTTTCCCTTTTCAGGACATTCTCTTGTAAGTTTAAAAGGCCAAAGCAATCTGTTGTTGACTTTTTAAATTATACAAGTTAAATGTCTGGAGTCTCACAGCACCAGCCCAAGTCTGAGTATTCTTCTTTTCTTCATGAGAACCCAGCAGGACATTCCTCTCCCCACCAGACTTGTTTTGGTATCAATTCTAACATAACAAGAGCTCTAGATAAATTTCCACAAAAAAAGGTTAATTCTACGTAATTTGTTATTAAAACCACTGCATCAGCATCTCATTTTTACTTTTGTTGAAGAAGTCTTTTTTATCCCCTATTGTAACAAAGTTACGTATCTAATTTCAAATTAAGTGTTTAAAATTCAGTTAGAGTGCTTATTATTATTATAATGATATATATATATATATATATATATTGAGATGAAAGCCAATTGCCTACAGAATGAAAAAAAAAAAACATTCTCCAATGCCAAAAATAAATAAATAAATAAATAAATAAATAAATAAATGAGTGTATGAGTGAGCAAATAAGTGGTTGGATAGATAGATGAATACGAATCAATCAGTCAACCCACCTTCATTTGCTGCCATATTGTCCTTTCAGTTTCAACCAGCCTGGAGCAATGACCTTCACCTTGATCCTGTCACTCGTATTCCTCCCTGCTGCTTCAGTTTCCACAAAACTGCAAAGATAAGCAAAGATAGCCATTAATTGTCTAAATAGATTGTCTGTGGCTGTCACAGCAAGTGGAAATGATTGGAGAATGATTTCGACTGGAAGCAGACTGAACCCAGAAACGTATTGATTTCTTTCTCGAGTTCTGTCGATACTGCGAACATTTTACGAGTAATTTTTCAGGAGAAAATTACCCTGATTCTATATCAGGCTGTGTAATATCTATGGGGACGTCCTCAGTGGACTTAGAATAGTTCAATGGGCCATTATGCATTACCCTGGCATGTCAGTCAAATAATTTGATAAAAAGATGGATCTAGGTTCACCCAAGCCTTTAGTAAAATTCTGCCCATTGCAAAACCTATCCTTATTTTTCCTCAATAAAATATGAAAATCATAATTGTCAAATTTATGACTATTCTAGCTTAAAATAATCAATTAGCAAAAACTACACAGATACTTGATCAAAGAAAATTCTGACTGACAGGGAGCCCACTTGTAAGTACTGCCAAATAAAATAACTCATTAGTTACTTAAAAAAAAAAAAAAAAAAACCTTCTCAATTTCACCTTAATAACATCACAACCACAATTTCTTACCACATTCCCTGCCTAGAAGATGTGAAACCTTAATCAGTTGTGATCTTAGTTAGGTAACCCACCCATATGGCCTCAACTTATACCAACTATTAGAATTCTGAGAAGTATATCCAATAATACCCAACCACATAATTTCCATGTAGACTTCAACTTATACCAAATAGCCGAATTTCGAGAAGTAAGACCAATAATAATCTCACCACATGAGAAAAGAAATGACCTCATCCAAGACTTACAAACAATTCATTTCCTAGTTACAACCCCCACACTGAAGAATTGGAAAAAAAGGGAGAGTTATCCATTCTAAAAATTAACACATGGCCACATGTCATATGAAACTAGAACTATAACCAGGACAGTGATATTTCATAAATTCATTCACTTATTGCCTCTGGGCATTGCCATTGAGCTGGGCCAGTATATTGTTAACCACTGGAGCCCAAAGGGCTAGTGGGTTTTTAAATATTTGGCAGGAGACTCCGAGAGCGTGCCACCAATAGACCCATCACCCTTAAAAGATGGCTAAAAGGCTTTAAAAATCCATATGTTGGTTGGTTGGGCTGGCTTGGGTTCAACTCCTTGTAAACCAATGACCAAATTACAGATTTACAATTTGGGCTCCCTGCACCCCAAATCCTGGGAAAACCCCTTGTCATCACTGATCAGTGATGGCTGCATTCTCCAGCTTGTGGAATTCCCAGACCATCACCATTTTTTAGTTTAAGAACTAGAATTACAACAACCAGACACCACAGCGCCTTTGAAAATTGTTGTGTTTTTCCTCCAGAACTCTCAAACTACACACCCATGAAGCATTGCCAGACACCTAATTGATTACAACACAGGTGAAATTATAAAATACCAAGCACACCTTTCATACATTAATGCTTACTGCAGAGACCATGCTTTCAATCATTTTTTTTTTATTCACACTGAATCAAGCTACAAGCCAACAGTCCTCTTAAATAAATAATTTTCAAAACATTTTAATGTTTCAAAAGGCATGGCACTTCTTCTTCAACAATACTTCATGCTGTCACCTCTGTTCTGATCCTAATATTGACTAATGGACCTGGCTGTGCAGGGCAGGTTCTTGACAATTTTCTGAGAGCATGTGATTCAAGAACTGTCAATGACACTTAAACACTACTGAGTTGATTGTACAGACACAGGTGTGAGAGCTACATATCCCATGTCCAGTTATTCACTGTTGATGACAACAATAACAAAGGGGTAAACTAGGGTCAAATGACATACTGCCAGCGTGTATGGAACTGCTGGTAAATTATAGGTTTGAACAGGAGAGGGAGGATTGAGGCAAGGGAAGTGATGTGTGTGTGTGTGTGTGTGTGTGTGTGTGTGTGTGTGTGTGTGTGTGTGTGTGTGAAAGAGAGAGAGAGAGAGAATAAAGGTGGTCACTATGGCTATCTCCGTAGCAGAATTGCTACAAGATCTTTTCATATATTTCAGACATTAAATTCAGGTATGTACAGTAGATGTAACATTTGTGTTGTGTGTTTGTATGTGCACATACTATATATAAGCATATTGTACAGTATGTGCCTGCCTGTGCATTTCCCACCAACCCCTGGGGGGGGGGGGGGATTAGTGGGGAGGGTGAAGCTAAAGGAGATTTTCTAGCTTTTTCAAAAAATATCTTCAGTTTACTATAATAGCCAGTAGGAGCTCTATTTGTATTTTTTTTTTTAATTTCAAAACATGAAATATTGAATGATGATCTGTAGACAAAGATATAACACTCAAAGAGAAAAATCAAGCTGAACGTAAGTGTCTAGTGGGTCTGCTTCTTCAATTATTACTTAATTACTGGGTTAACCTTCAAAAGTGGAAAGGTTGCAATGCCATGGAGGGATAAAAAAGGAACAGAACCTCAACTTACGTCCCAGAAGTGTAGAAAACATCAAGTCTCAGCAACTAACTCAGTAACTGGACTTACTCTTTTAAGTCATTCTCATTTGGGGAAGAAAATGGAAACATAAAAATATTTACTAGTACAGACAAATTTCTCACTGAACTTATCTATCATAGAAATCTTTTTAATACTAGCCAGTAACTTGACTAAAAGAAATTATGGTAACTAGTATATCCAAAAGTGAGCTTACTAAACTGCCCCCCCCCCTTCTCTAAAACAACAACTCAGTTCCATATAATCAGATTCAGTATGTCACATTGAAAATAATTACCATACATTCAATATTGATTGGCAAAGCCATGCTACAATATGCCATAGGAAAATTCATCACCTTATTAAGGTGGTCATAGTTCTGTTTAAGATTATGGGCCTGTAGCCTGGGTCCCTACATATCCAGACACTGAGTCAAGACCTCCTAGTTGCCTACTACAGGCATTCAAAAGAAGTTGATCCATGGACTAACAGAACTGTGGATCAATTATGGCTGACCCACTTGAAAGCTTGCCGCATAATCCCCCAAGAGACATTGAAAACATTCCTCGCGTTGACAACATGGTACTTAAGATTTGGGCCCCTAAGATTTCCCGTGGGTCGGTCATATTTGCTCTGCAGATTTGTTAGTCCACCGTTGGACTAACTGCAGATCTGTTGGTCCAACTCAGAATGCAGCATAAGTAAACTAGACTGTCTGAGGTTTCTGTCTGGGGCATGGAACTCATGGCATTGGGGTGTCATTGCCAGTTAAATTTTGCCAACACAAAAATCCCATGGAAAACCAAGATAATAACAAGGACTGCCCTAATACATTCTGGGGATAGGAATTCATATCCCATTGGGATTTTTAAAACCTGTTTAGTACTAATTTAGCTAATTTCACAGGTCAGCTTGTGCATTTCTCATGCAAAATATGGTGATATGAATTACTCCTGGGTTCCAAAAACTTCTAGCTAAATGCTTAAAATAACGATTACCTTAAATGGATCTGGCACATTCTTTTTGACCTAACGATTATAATTTGCAACGAAGATATATTTCTCATCCATAACAGAGGCAATATCTACAAGGTAAAGTGGTTGTTCTGGTGTGAAGAAGAATTGATGACTTGTGATATTGACTGTGTGATCTAAATGAGATCATAATCCGTGGCTAATACGACAAAGCGTAAGCAATAGCACATCAGAATGCACAGCTGACTGGCCATGTTATCTAAGACCCCATTCCCACAAACATCATCAGTCTACATAGATTGACCCAACTCTGGAGGGGACTCTCCCTGACTGCAATCATGTTAACTGCATGACAAGTCTCCTCTTGTTTCCAATGACTCATATTATCACCAGTTTTTCTGTATTCTACTTAACGCCAGGAGGACATTCTGTTAAGCCGACTGCAGTCAGCTAGACTCTCCGCAGAGTTGAGTTGATCCATGAAGACTGATGGTGTCAATGGAAATGGGGTCTAATATTGAGAGCTAATTACTCTGAGTGTCTGGAGTGAATCACTACAGCTGTGCAAGGAGCTCCATACTCATGCATATTGAAATTAAGCTAGAAACAGCGCTGCAATGTTCATGAAAGACAAGTAGTCTGGTAGTACCTACTGCAGCAGTATCAAGGAAGGGGGGGGGGGGGAGGAGAGACATAAGCACGTCTGTCATGCAAAAAATATGTTTTTTTATGTTCACAATATCTTGGTTTTCCATCTTTAAATGTCTTTTATGAGACTCAAATAACAATTAGGAAAAACCTATCTTTAGTTCTGCAACAGTTACAGTTTTAAACATACTAACCATTAAATAAAAACATGGGTAAGATGGAGGATGAATCCATTAAGATTTATCAGCACAAACTTTTCTCAGAAACATCTTATTATTAATATAGAGTAAAAAAATCCAAAATTTACAGTGTTCCAAAAACAAATCCCCCAACCATGTACCAGAAGTCTTAAATCTAACAAGCCTCAAGACCCTGACAGTTTTAACTGTTTTCCCATGTCAACACCCAATTTACCTGTCAATATGAATCGCCCTTGAAGCAATACAGGCATATCCTGAGTTGCATTTAGCTGTTTTTTTTTTCCTTAAACCCCAATGGGGCTATTTTGCTTGCCATATGCACTCAACATGTTATTTAAGCCTAAAAAATGCTCATAATCTATTATATGATAAAACTTATCAAAGTCTGGCAAATCAACAAGATGACAGCTAGATAAAAGCCACTGTCACCCAACCATACTAATAAGGATACCCCCCTTCCCCAAGTTTGCTCTACCTAGTTGCATATGAACTATATAAACTACTTTTAAATGAAAAAAATTAAATAGACACTGGGCTTCAGGGAGCGTGACCATATTAGTATTGTCTGTCAATGTATGTACTAGTAGCAGGCCTTCCCAACTACCAGACTCGGCACCTACGGGTCCAGTATAAACCGGTTTATCAGACCACACTACCCGTTTTCAAGGTGTGTGTCAGATCGCATTACAGAGTATCAGCCACCACACCGATTTTGCCTGGTGCGCGATGTGATAGCAATGATCCTAAGCGGGGTTGGAAAGTAGTGCATCTCATCTAGATTCATGCGCTGCTGCAATTTTCTGTTTATGCTCAAATCTGACAGTACCGCAATTTTTAACATAAAATTTAGGTTCGGACATAGCCATTGATGTTTTGTAAATAAGAACTTGCAAACTTATATATTAATTTAGAAAAGTATACCTAATTTTGATAGCAGAAGCATATTCTGTCGGGGGTTAAATATTCTTGTGACTACCGGGATGGACGAGATTGAGGGCAGGGGTAATCCTAGAGAGGGGTGAGAAACGTCCATTGTTCTCGTCAGCGAGGCTGTCCTTTTTCAGGGTTTGTACGCACGGACAGAAAACTTAAGTATTGTGGGAACGTTACTAATGAAGCCACTGGTAGTACTAGTAGATATCAGCCTGTAGTCTTGAACAAGCGCCTCGATGACGAGTGAACAGTTGTCAAAAACAAAAGACCCAGGTGTGGTAGTTCAACTACTGTTGATGCGTGCCGCAACGACCAAACCTAATTGCTCCTCAAGGTCACAAAACAATAACCGGTACTGACGGCTAGGCTCGTCTTAATCATATAAGTAGCGCGTTTCCACCCCCTGATTGAGGGAGTCGTCTGTTGTATTCATGCGACTCCTACTTGACGAAAACGAGGCGCGATACCCGGATGACAGGTAGGCTTACAGAATTTGTGGTAGGGTATGATACTCTTTTATGCGATCTGACACACACCTTGAAAACGGGTAGTGTGGTCAGATATACCGGTTTATTCTGGACCCGTAGGTGCCGAGTCTGGTAGTTGGGAAGGCCTGAGTAGCATACAGTGAGTCTTATAACTAGGTAACATTTTATCATTATGACATTCTGCAGCTTTCAGCATAAAATCCAAATGTCATACTTTTTAAAAACTAAAATACATACAATATGATCATATGATCAACATCTAAAGCGAGTTGGGCAGCATGTGACAACACTCTCTTCCATTCTCTGTTTGTGACACCATAGTAACAGCTAGGATCTGTATAATACTTAGTCATAATGTCATATTATGTCCATCTTGGCTTGACAGATCATAAGCAAACTATGGACCGACTAACAATCTCTCTCTCTTTCTCTCTCTCACATGCACGCAACCACTCAAACACACACACACTGAATTATCAGGCCCGTAGCCAGAAATTTCAAAAAGGGGGTTCTTTTTCTGAAAAAGTGGACCTTTTTCCATAAAAACTTCATGTGCCTAGATCAAACTTTACCCAGAGTGGACCTTTTCCCAGCAAAAGGGGCGGTTCTTTCGAACCCCCCGAACCCCCCCTGGCTACGGGCCTGATTATATAGTAAAATATATACCATTTACTTGCCTTACACTGTATCTACTCCCAGCTGCACTCCTCCCCTCTTTCTTTACTCGCCAAACCATCCAACTTGCTTACCTGCACCAGAAGACCCCAAAGAGCTGCCTCAGCCTATTATCTCCAATTTGCCACAAATCTATTCTTATGAACACACACACAAACTTCCCCTGTCTATCTCCTGCTCAATTAGTCCAGCTTAACCCCTGCACAATGTTGCATCACCTTACACAGGTACGCCGCTACTCCATCGATTAAGGTTCTCATTAAAGAACATCCCCTGTAACTAAAGATGTGGTCTGGGAGTTTGTGTTGAGTCAGAGCTGCTAAACACACATCTATTGTTTGGTAACAAACTGTTGAATGCCTCAGTGTAGACACAACTCTTTTGCCAAACAATCACATCAGAGAAGTATTAGTTGGGAAAATACAATGCGGGTGAAGTTTTTGTTCATCTTGCTGCAAAAGGACTGGAGGACGAGTCACTCCAATATGAAAATGTTGATCCTTTTTCTTTTTTTGCTCTTTCTGATACCAGACAGTTTCTTCACGGGAACAAGAAATTTGCACTTTTCATGAAAGTACAATTTAGATAATTCTGAACGTCTCAATTTAATTCCAAAAACTTGAAATTCTGAAAAAATACATTAAAAAGTTGTTGAGATCCCAATGCCCGTCCTATGCACCATTGCTAGTTTTATCTACTTTTTGGTTTCATTTTTAAAACTTCTGATAACCTTGTTTACCAACTCCCTTCTTTGAACTAATAGTCACATGACTAGTTACTGGTATATCTGTGTCATTGGCAAATGCCTTTTATATATAAATAAAGCCAGTACTAGTATACATATTTCCTAACTTTTTTTTATGGAAATGAAAACAGCATCACGTTGCCAGCTATACAAAGGGTAAGTTGCTTTGTCAGTATTGTTCACTTTTTAATATACAAGGTAACTTACGATAATGCCTTTTTTGTCATCTAACTTCCTAGATATTTTCACTATCAGATATACAATAGAACATACTCAATAATAAATATTTAACTGCTTTCGATACTTCTAATACAGTTACACGTGATCCATTTAAAGGCATATTTCATATCAAAAGGAAAATCTGCATGTATAGTAATTTAACTATAGTATACAAGTGATCAAAATCCCTTCACATACACACACACACACACAGAAAGAGAGGGGAGTGAGAAAAAGGATCCCGAAAAGAATTTCTGTCAACTTAAACCACCACAATTCCATCTCATTAATGACATACAGCCAGTTTTCTTCTAATAAACATAACACCATTCATGTCAATTCATAATGGAGACTCCAATATTTTCACCCCATCAATCCATAAAAGTTCCATTAGTCAGGGACCTCTATGTAACATTACCATATGTTGGAATAGGAATTCTAAACCCTTGGCACAGGTCTGCTTGTACAGTAAATATTGCCTTGCCATTGCTTATTCATATCAGGGCCATAGGTTGGCCCTTCAGGGTACAAGGACTGGGTGTTCAACAAGATGCTCATTCTCCCACTAAGTATAAATATTTTAGTTTTTCCTCAAATTTGTATCAAATCATGCATATGAGCAAAGGTGTACCGCCACATTTATGAATGTCCATTCAAGAGTTTCTGAACTGCCTTCAGTACAAAAAGGAATATCACGATCTGGAAAACTGTTATAAGTTCTGTGTATTGTTATCTTAATGGAAATTCCTATCAATATTCTACTCGGACCATCTGCTGCTCATGGAATGACATAAAGTATGGCTCTCAGGTCTTAGCCTTTCACTCTTTCTTCAGCAATTTACATAATTCTTTACACATAATTATACATAAATTTCTTTGAACAAAAGACAAGAAAAAAAGAGGAAGAATACTTAACTATAATATAGTCTACATCTTTGTCTCATAAAATGGCAAGATAATAATAATAATAATAATAATAATAATAATTTACAAAACAAGATTTTCTTAAATGAAAAAATCCCATTCAAACCACAGAAAAGACCTCTATCTTCTTTTCCCCACTGTTCATATTCCTGCAAATATTCCAATTTGTATACCTAAAGTACAATATAATAGTACAATATCATTTAGTTCATATCCCTCCCTCCTGGTAATCATGTTAATCCCAAGCAACTGCTCATATCCCAGTGGACAGCCTACACTCAAGGAGATCTCCACAGAGACTGTCCACGGTATAAAAGAAGACACAGTGCTCATAGCCCTGGGGTGGGTAGCATCCCTGGTGTGTCATTAAGCAATTAGACATCACTCTCATTAAACAATGTAATTTAACTCAAGTGATTATGTCCTGGATATATGCAGCTGGCCTAAGGATGGGCATCACACAGCATTAATTGCTGAATTCATCAATGTTCCTGTAGTTTAGTGTGCATGATTTACCTGTCAAACTGTATTTTTGCCACTACATGCTGACGCATGAGTTGCGAAGACTGTAATAGTCTATTGCTACATGATAAAAGTCATACTCTGCCAAACTATTCTCTTAGCCAATAAAAAATATCTGATAAGTAAAAAAATTTAAATAATAAATAAATAAACAAATAATAAATGAGTACTGAAACATGATGCTTTATGTGTGTAATATCTGTAACCACAATAGTGAACTTTACCCTAATTTTTCTTTTCAATTTACTAGTTAAAAACTTTGTAATGTTGTTTTAATACAGGAAATCCCCTTTCAAGGAAAAGGACTTAATGTCTATATTCCAAATTGCACTTTCCTGATCAAATTTGCCAAGATCAATTTCTCCAATACTTGCCCAGTTTCACTCTCTCTCTTTCACACAAGCATGCAAGCATGAACACACACACACACACATACACACACACATTTGCTTTCTATCACACCTTGACTGTCCACGACTACATGCATGTTGCCAATACATCAAAGCATTCAAGCAAAGGGAATTATTGGACAAACAGAAAAGACATGCAAATATTTCTAGTCAAAACTTCCAACAAATACACTGATATTTGCCACCTGATCCAATTAGCCACTTGTCCACAACCTAATGCTGTGTATATATTATATTAGAAATTACATCAAGCAAGTCACGTATCTTGTGCACTATGTGAAGAGTATCTAGCAGTAAACAATTCACACCAAGTCAACAGGTGCATTTTCTACTGAAATGACCAAATAACACTGAGCTGAATGATGGTTTATTGCCCAATTACTTAGTATATGAAATTGATGATGCATGTAATTTATGACTAATTACATCCTACTAGATTCTAAATATATGCAAGATAGCATCTGATAGAAACCAAATGTGACCATAACTTTAAGTAGGATTATTAGTATGTGGTATCATAAGCATGCTAGTTTTTACATGTATTTGAGGTCCCCCTTCATCTTTCCCAAATGTCAATACTTCTTCAAAATTAATTATAAATTACAACTTACTAGTGAAATCTAATGGCTTGAAAGAGTTCCCTTCAAAAATTAGTAAATGCAGGAATATTATCCCCGAGTTCATCCAACAAATAATGCTTATCTATATCTTGTTTGGGATTAACATGAACAATTATCTAGAACTACCGTAGTAGTAGATCGTAGCAGCCACTACAAATATTTTCCAAATCAGTTACTAGTAAATGAACAGTAATTTATGGTGAGGTAATGATCTTCTCGCTTCTTGTGTTCACAAAGCAATTTTACAATACCAAATTAAAAACTGTTCGTTTTAAGGACTCTGTGTGTTGTGAGTAAGCATGCAATCACCGCTGTCATCAACTTTCTCTCTCGAAAAAGTCAGTTTCAAAACGGCAGATGATCGATTGAAAAGGGCGAAATTGCAGACATGCCCAGCAATATTAGAGATTTTATGTAATGACAGATAAACGTTACAACGACAAATTACTCACATAATTTGAATTTGCTTGAATGTCCTGTTCAAGGTAGTCCCGAGAATTCCGTGATACGATGATTCAGTTATAAGGTATTTAATTTTAAATTTTGACTCCCCGCCTCCTCAAACGTCCATATTGGAACAACGATGACGCATGCGCAGATAATGTTGTCAAGATGTCTGCGCCCATGGCGAGTCAGCTTGAAGCGGTAAATATGATTTGTTGAAACCTTATGCTGCATGCGTAAGCAATTCAGTAACTTCAAACCAAGAATCACACAGCAAAAGATAAAATTACGTCTTACAATAGCTAAAAATTTTGACATGACGTAAAGAAAAGACGTTAAGATCAAAATGCAGCTTGCAGGCCTCAGACTTAAAAAAAAATGAATGCTACTTGTAAATGTACCTCCAACTATATGACTACAGTCATTGCGCATTCCGCTTTTAATTTCAACACATTTTCCAACAAACGAAATTGCTTGAATACCTATGTTCGCGTGCTTTTAAGGCACAGTTAAGGTCTTATGTGTACTTAATAGTAGTAATAATACGTAATAAACTTCAAGTCGGTCAATCACTTATCTGGTGTTTGCTCAATTTATCTTTGAATTGCATAACTGCATTTGGTGTATGGAAAGTCAACAGAAGCCTCTTCAATTTTACAAGGGGTGGACCAGTAACAGCATTAAGTTTGTTTTATGAAAATGCGTATTTAATAAGTTTTTGACTTATTTTCCAGAGTTTTACCATATCTCAAACAGTGAAATGTGACTGTCTCACTCCTTGCCCCAAGTGTGTCTCCGTGGGCTGCAAATGTACCCACACTTGATGCTTTTCACAAGATCATCTCTTCTCTCACTCCTCCCCTTCACATGAAGAGTGTCAGATTATCAGTGCAATATCATGCATTATCTCCCATGGTAAATAAGGGACAACATGGCCGACATGGCTATCTGCCCAAGCTTATCTTCCTTGGGGTCTGTTGCGCCAGTTTTGCTGGAGACAGGCCTGAACATTTCAGAGGTGAAAAGTCACTCAAGATGGAGGGTAAGGGTGAGTTTGCTAAGTGTATAATTTCCATATTATCAATTTATCACTTTTTATTATGGGCAGTATACATTGTAGAATAAAGTTGCAGCTTTGCATATTACACACTAGCAAAACTTTTTCATAAATGCAAAGGAGTCGGACAATAAACTAGTTATAAACCGGTAAATGACAGTGTTGTTGATATTTTCAGTCTTATAGAAAACAATCAAATTATTTTCAAATGCCACTTAAGTGATGTAAATTTAAATGAATAATTGGAAGACTTTGCCTTGATGGAAGACTGTCAGCAAGGATGGAAGGTTCTCTGTTTGAATTAACATATTTTGCATATGTGCAGAAGTGTCTGCACACATATTGACCCATATATATATCGGCATATTTACTAAGCTATCTGCATGGCATAATTAAGCTGCAAATTATCACAGTACTCACTTGACACTGAAAGCCATTCAAAAACTCATCAAGCATTTTGTGATGTTACAGCTTCTGAGCTTGATCGCTCTTGGATGAATACTAGTATTATCTGAGCCAAGCATCTTGATGATTTTATACAGTCTGAGAACGATATTTTGAATAAATTATGTGGTGATTTTGGTAAAAAATAAAGCAGTTCTTAATAATTTTTTTAAATGAAATATTGTTTATTATAGTAATGCCTAAATCAAGTATGCTAGTGTCTAATTTTTTTTTTAATTCTTTAATTCCAGGTCAAGGTCTTAAGACAACTGTGGTTGGCAGTTATCCTAAGCCAGACTATTTAAAGATTCCCGACTGGTTCAAGACCAAAATTCCCAATTATTCTGCCAGAATGTACAACCAGTACAGTGCAGAGGAGGCTAAAGGTGAGGCGGTGCTGCCACCTATATTTCAAATTTGTAAACCATATGAGTGCATACATTGGGGTTAAAACATGTTGGGTTTTATTTGGTCACACTTTATTTATTTTTTTTTTGCAATAATCTTAAGTTTACCAGTATAATGTCTAAATGCTGTAAGAAAGCACATCTAACTCTTATTCTGTCAGTAGTTTTCGTTTTTTTTTTTTTTCCTGTCCACATGATGTTGGTGCCTTGAGGTAGCGTGTAAGGTGCACCATATAAGAAGCTTATTATTATTATTATGTTGTGTGCTCTCCCCCTCTTGCTATTGATATTTACATGTATTATTTTATTCTAAACCAAATTATATTTTCACTGGGCAAACATTGGTAAAAAATATTGAACAAGTTTAATATTGTTTTGACTTAAATAGTATTTTATTTTCATGTATTATGATGTTTGTAAAGTTCCCGAATAATTTTCTTTCTTGTTTATACTTTCAGAATGTGAGGAGTCTTTGAAGAGAGCTTTGAAGGAATGCATGGAAGAACAGTCTTCTCTTGGGATTGATGTCATTACAGATGGGGAAACAAGGAGAGAGAACTATATTTATCCATTTTGGTTAGTTAGAGGTCATCTCACATTTGGATGTTTAATAGTATATCACTTCATGTGTTTACTTGACTTTTGTGGAAAAAAATCTGACTTTATGCTGAAACTTCAAATTTCTATTTCCCTTAAGTGAACAATGACATAATTCACATCATCATGTTTAATAGCACAGCACAGTGTGTTTTAAAAATTGGAAAACTATTTTACAGCCGTGCCTTGAAGAACTTCAGTTTTACGGAGCTGACTTTCAAGGTGTATCGTAATGGTGCCACAAAGAATCACGTTCCTACAGTGATTGGTCCTCTGGAGCCAGCCAGTGCTGACCCCTGGTGTGCAAAAGAGTGGCAAGAGAGCCAAGCAATGACCAAGACTCCAGTCAAGTATACTATGCCTGGACCTATGACCATCATGGGAAGCACAGCAAGTATGGATAAATTCCTATCATAATGCTATTTAATGAGAGTTTCCTGATTTCCAAACTATGAAATGCAAGTAGGAGCTATTTTATGCCTCTTACTTTATGAACATTTTAACATTTATCAACAAAATATAAAGTAACAGATTAATAAATAAATTGACTTATAAAGATTGAAAATTCACAGATGATATTCACAAAATAAACAATAGTCCATATTCAGAATCATCTTAATGTTTCGATCTTTTTCGTTTGAGTCTAGTTAATGCCCTATAACATCGAATAGGTGGCAATTTTGAATTATGCTTTGTAATGAAAGGTGTCAGAACTTCCACAATTATTTCTCATTATTAAGTTTGTTTGTAGACAAGTATTACAAGACTGAAAAGGATTGGAGTGAGGCCCTCGTGAAACTCGTGAACCGAGAGGTGCGTGCACTTGCTGCTGCTGGCTGCAAATATATACAGATTGATGAACCAGTTATGGTGCGAAGCCCAGAAATTGCAATGGATTATGGGATTGATCACCTGACCAGATGTTTTGAGGTAATGCTATGTTTTAATCTCATTTAAAAAACATTTTCCAAGCAGAAATTTTTTGCTCAGTGAATTTTTATAAACTTGAGAAAAAATTTAAGTCTTCAGAAGGGATGCATCTTTCGTTACCTTGTTGTTAAGTTCTAAATAAAAAAGTAACCTGTATTATTATATTTTAAAGACTACTTTTTCAGCATATGTTTCTCTTAGGTTTTCACTTTAAATCTTTGTTTTGATATTTTTGAATTGTAGAAAACATTTTTTGTCTGTGAATTCAGGGTGTTGGTCCAGAGGTAGAAAAGACAGTTCATTTATGCTGTGGATATCCTGCCTATTTGGTAAGTTTCCCCACTGATTTTATTACATTATGATTACTTAAACCTACCTGTGGGTTGAAAACTATACATGTGTAAAATTGAAAAGAAAAAGCACCAACACACATACTTTGTGGAAAAATACTTGATTTAATACTATCTTGATTTAATTTAATACTATCACCCCCCCTCCTGTATTGTGGATAAATATACACCTTCACTAACAGTAAGCATACAAAGTGTATTTGTTTCAGGATCAGACTGATTACATGAAGGCAGATAGATCAATCTATATGAACTTAGCAGAGAAACTAGACAATTCTGGCCTCGATGCATGTGAGTGTTAAAAAACAAATATGTCTTATGTAATTGGATGTTGGTGTCTAGTGAATGAAGAAACCCCTATCTTTTTGCATTATCATCCAGAATTTTTCATTAGTAAATGAAAATAATTGAAAAGTAACAGTCTTGTTCCAAATGGTCACTTTTTTCTGTGTAAAAATTCTGTATCATCTTATTCCATGCCTTGTTTTCCTCTACCCAAAATTTTTCATAGTGTTTTTATTTCTAGTTTCTATTGAAGATGCTCACCAACATAATGATCTCACCCTACTTGAGAAATTCAAAAAGACCAAAGTAATCTTCGGTGTTGTTGCCATTGCTAAAAGTCGTGTGGAGACAGTGGAGGAGATTAAATCGCGTGTCATGGAGGCATTGAAGCACATACCTAAGGAACGCCTCATTCTGGCCCCAGATTGTGGTCTGGCCTTCTTGCCTCGAGATATTTTACGTCAGAAGCTAAGCAACATGGTGGCAGCAGCAAAGTCTGTAGTTTGATGTGATTAAAGTTAGATATTGGTCACCTTATGGGCAGTCAATGAGGAACAGTCCTGGGTTCAATCCTGGGTCTGCAGTCATAGATAACTAGTAATCTCTCTAACAGCTACACACTGCCTTTAATGTTTAGGTAAATCTGTTTTCTTTTATTTTATTATTTTTTAAAATAAATTTTTTGACTGGACTCGAGGTAATAACACAATACCAGTAATATTTTTCTTGGTTTGCTCTCCTAGATGATATTTTTGCAGACAAATAGATGTCTTATTTATTTATTTATTTATTTATTTATTTATTTATTTATTTATTTATTTATATTTTTTGTACTTTGAAAAGTATTTGAATTACTGATAATGACAATAAAATAATATGGAATTTGGGTGTAAAGTTAATTTTTTTGTTGTTGATTTAATTATGGGTATTTCAAATTTCACTTTTCCTGGTAACTACACATCGCTGATAATCTCTGTGGTAGATATTACCATTATGTTCATGCGGTACACGGGATTTGAGATAAAAAGAGGAGTCCTGGATAAGAATGACTTACTTCAAGAAGTACTGTCAACTGATTTCTAGAAGACTAACACCCTTTTCCCATACCTAGGTCGATCTCCTAGGATCAACCCATCTCCGAGGGGTCTCTCACTAAATTACATTCAGCTTAAGTGGCTGTGATGTTTGGCACGCCTACTGAAGCTGTTACTTGGCATGCCTCCTGATGGTTGTGGTCACTATTGTTTAGCAGTTTCAATATTACTAAACTTGCATACCTAGGACAATTTTTGTGAACAGACACAGTATATAAGCAGTCTAAATCTGAATATCTTTCTCTGAGAGGCTCAAACATTTTTTCACAACCCCTCATAAATCAGTCTGCAATTATTGCACATGTGCACCTGATTCTGAAAACCTTTGAGGCCTGACATTTCATGCCATCCATTGCACAGATTTTAGTGTATACCATGGCTGCACGGCTTTGGTACATATGCTTTTTGTATGGATTAAACGGAAAAATAGTAATGATATTGTATTTTTAAAATGCATAAATTTGTCAACTTTACTAGGTCTCTAGTTGATAAAATTTCGGGGACGGGCAGGTCATTTTGTGCACATTGTCAGTTTCTATACATGTGACTGTTAAACAATAGGTACATTGTATAGCAGATCGAAGCATTCCTATCTTCAGCACATTTTTTTTGCTTGTGCATAGATGAAATTTGACCTATTTTTGCCACCCCAAGTCTGAACTTTAGCCCCGGTTTTGAAATCGTACACTCAATTCTTTCTTGTGGTTACACAGTGTTGGTTTGGCCGCACTGGATCATGACCAGCTTATCAGTTTTATCTGCATGGCCTTACTGGAGCTTGGCACTTCAGGTATATACCTTCAATCTATGCCAGGTATGCTCAACATGATATTTAATAAAAGGGCTTGGAGAGTTGCATCTCTCGGGTTATTTTGTAGTAGCCAAACTGAATTGATAATTTCTGTTTGTGGTCACTAAGGTGGACTTTTTGCTTTTTGTAGTAATTTTAATCAGGGCACTAGCTAATACTCGTTTTTATTTACGGAATCTGTATCCAAATATTTGATTCTGCACACTTAGTTCGTCATTAAGAGTGGAGATATATAGTTTTGGCATAGATGATTTAAACATGCTGCACTGTGTGTTATCAATGTATTTGTCTACTATGATGTAATATGGCTGGTTGACGCTTTAAGGGATATGAAGTCAAGTTCAGTTGACCTCCAGTTCGCTAATAGGTAAGTATGTATAGATATAGTCGTATGTTCATTTAGTAATAATTCTGATTAAACCTCTGACAACATGCTCATATAATACTTGAAAGAATTTATAAAATGGTTGGCATCATCCATGATGCAGTGTTTGTTGAAAGTATATCGACATACATGTTTTCGGGTTTTACATGGTCAAATATAGCAGTGCTTATCTCTTGTGGAGAGCAGGTGTGATTGATATGTCTTTTCAGTGTATTCAGTCTATATGGTTACATGGGTGCATATATTTGGACATGCATGAGTTCAGCCAAAGTACTGCCTATAACTTGTTAAAACTTGGGTTGTTTGCATTGTGACAGTATAACCCAAAGTAACTGGACCAAACAACTGAACTGAACTGCTGGTCAGTGGAAATAAGAGAAGCTGAATTTTACTTTATTCCTACCAGGCTGATAAACCAGAGATGGCGGGAACACAAGGTAGTGTCTCTCTGTTACTTAGTAGTTGTAGTATTTGGTGGTTGCTATGCAGTGTAAGTAGCAATACCAGTGGCAGTTAGCCATAGCATCAGTAGTCACAGTAACTATTTTACAAGTTTTTGTCAGCAATGATTGAAATTAATTAACTAAATAGAAATTTAGTCAAGTTTCTTTTCATTACAGAATATTTATTAAAGGATACAAATATATACACATATTCATAATTTAAATCTTAGAATCCTATGCTCTGCATAAAAATTTACTTAGTTGCTAAAAAAATCATACGAGTGATGTAAAAGGTATTTCTCTGTCTAATGTATTGATGGTAAGTAGTAATCGGTCATTTTTCAAAAAATGTTTTCTTTTTCTACAAACCATGCAAGGAATTAATTCATACCTTGATCAAGCTCGAAGTTTTTCATCAGAAAAGAGTTTGAAAAAGGTCAGTTTTCCACCTTATGCTGATGATCTTTACTATAATTAAATTCCCAGGTATTCTTACCACAGTGATTGGTAGCTATCCAAAGCCAGATTACCTTAAGATACCTGACTGGTTCCGGTCAAGTCACACTGGCTACTCCAGTGACCAATATGATGAGTATGTCCGACGTAAAGTTAGGGCTGAAGGTAGTATTACATTGAAATTGTAAATTTGAATGAAAGAATAGGTGTGTGCATGTGTATGTGCGTGCATGTGTGTGTGTAAAATGTATGTAAGTAAACGCATATATTTTTAGATGGGTGACAATGTAACTTTAATATTGATTAACATTTTTATAAGACTAAGTGTGGAACTTTTCAGAATCAGTGGTGGAGAAGGCCCTTGCAGAGTGTATGGAAGAGCAGACAGCCTTGGGCATTGATGTAATTACTGATGGTGAAATTAGGAGAGAGAACTACATCTATCCATTCTGGTAACGGTAGCTATAATGCCATTTTTCAGGCCTGTAGCCAAGAATATAATATGGGAGAAGCTAGGGCTCTTCTTCTGCAGTCAAAGCATATCTATTGACCATAAATTGCCACTTTCGTAGCATATTTTCAGTCAATTTTCCTTGCCGAAAGGGCAGTTTGTTTTGACCCCCTTCTCCCTCGCCTACAGGCCTGTCTTTATTAATATAGTTTCCAACATTTTCCTTTTGCGTAATGCTTATATTTATCTACACACACACATTGAATTGAAATACCACAAAAATGAGAATTCATTGTAAATAGTTATACAGTATATATGAAGTATGTTTCATGAAGCTAAAACAAAAATTTACATATTGTCAGAAAGTCTGTGATCTGAGGAATTATATTGCATCTGTCTTTCCCTGATGTCGTGTATCAACATCATCTGTAAGTTTGTGCACAGCATTTCAATCTGATTATTTTTATATCATCAGTTCACTTAGATTACCTTTGTAACATTGATTTAAAATCACAGATGGAATAGGTTACTTTAGAGCAATTATAACCTTCCACTTTCTGTTTTATTTTTTAGTCGCCATTTGAAGAATTTCAGCTTTGAGGAACTCACCTTCAAGACATATCGCAATGGTGCCTGTTCTGGCCAAGTACCTACAGTGATTGGTCCTCTAGAACCAACCAGTGCTGACCCCTGGTGTGCAACAGAGTGGCAAGAGAGCCAAGCAATGACCAAGACTCCAGTCAAGTATACTATGCCTGGACCTATGACTATCATAGGAAGCACAGCAAGTACGTAAGGGCTCATTCCCATGTAACCTATTGTTCTATGTAGACCGTTCCAAATCCCCTGGGACTCTTGCCGAATGCAATCAGTTTAACAAATTAACACTTCCTCCTGGCGGTGAGTAAAATACGGAAAAGCTGATTATTATACGAGCATGTTGCAAACTAGAGGAGTCGTTTAATTGATTGCACTCAGCGAGAGTCCCTAAAGGGTTGATCGAATCAATCTACGTAGACTGATAGTTTCAATGGGGATGAGCTCTAATATAATACTTCATGTAATACTGTCTATTAGTCATCCAGTAGTATTTTATATATCTTTAAGTTTTTAATTAGTTACTCGACTACCGGTTTAGTTTTATTGATATATTGCATCTTCCAGTTGGTAGAATCTATATAATGTCTAGAAATTATGTATCAGTATCTTTCTTTTTTTAAAGATAAGTTCTACCAGCATGATAAAGAACTGAGCGAGGTTCTCGTAAAACTTGTGAATCGAGAGCTGCTTGCTCTAGCAGCTGCTGGTTGCAAATATATACAGATTGATGAACCAGTTATGGTGCGAAACCCAGAAATTGCAATGGATTATGGGATTGATCACCTGGCCAGATGTTTTGAGGTAATGATGTTGAAAACTGTAGACAGATAGCAAATTTCATCTAAAATTTTTAAAAATTTCATATTTAGTTTGAGAATGAGGTGTTAACTAAAGCATTAGAAATACGAGTATCACCTATACTGTAGCATTATTTCACTTATATTTACTTATATTGAATAAATGAAATTTTAAAACATCACTGAGAACTGCTGCTTTATATTTATGATTTTTGTGTGTTGTTTTTTTTTTTTCTTTCTTTTTTTCTCCTATAGGGTGTTGGTCCAGAGATTGAGAAGATAGTACACTTATGCTGTGGATATCCCAACTGTCTGGTAAATATGCCAGGGCATTAATTAGACAAACAGATTTGGCATATTTATGTACTAGTATATTAAATTTAAGTTACAAATTACATTGAACTATGGTACTGGAAAGGATGAGTGCGAATAAGGGGGTAAAAGTGCCCACTTTTGTACATGAAAAATAAATTATGAATGAATGGAAAAAAATTGATGCCAAATTAAAGTTGGGGTCTTACAGTTTTATGATCCACTTAAAAAATTTTTTTTTATTGAATTTGAAATATAAAAAATTAATGTCAAAATGACCTTGTCAAATATTCATGAAAATGTGTGTTTTAGGGGGGGTCTGAATTGCAATGCTCCATATCTTTAGTTATAGTAAGGTGACAACTGTGAAATTTTGTACTTGGGTACAGAAAGTGCCCATGTAAAAAAGTAAGGCAATATGTGGCCAATCATTGTTTGTGATCAATATTCTGATTGCTTTATTTATACATGTAGTGCTAACTGAAAGAAGAATCTTACAGTGACTTGAGGATAAAAGATGTTCATTTTTTATATGAGCCCCTGCCTCAGACAAGCTAATTATTCACGGTTGAAAAGACATGAATATAAGGTGAGATATATGTGAAAATCAGCTTGTCTGAGGGTTGGGCTCGATATGTACTCAAACTAAATAGGGACAAATTCAGTCCATATGCTAGCAGGCGGCCATGTTTATTCCTGCCATGAGGTAGCTGCTACATGCTATACATAGGATGGCTAGGCAGATACAGTGAAACTTTTGTACAAAAAGAACAACCCAAAATAAAATGTAGGTCTTTGAATGGAAAATAGGGGTTAGAGTCAGTAAAATATTTTCAATTACAACAAAAAAAAAAAGAAAAGTCATTTTCATATATGTAATGCATGCTATCATCAAAAAAAAAAAGGAAATATGGATAGGAAATAGAGTCCAAATACAGTAAGTATATCTTATTTTCATTCTTATTTCTTAGGATTAAGAAAGATTAAAATGTAAAATGTGCTTCAGATATCACACACACCCTAGTTTTGTTACTTATGACCTAATCTTCCACACCAGCACTATTCATAATAGCTTTTTTTCTTCTTTTTTTTTCCACCAAAATGCTATGACTGGCTTTATTTGTCAAGGAAATCAGTGAAGACCTATTGACTTGGTAAATAGTCCATACAAGAGACCACCAGCCTATAATAATTACCAGAAGTTTACCAGATAAAGCAAGCTAGCCAATATACTGATGAGCATCTGCTAGATGGCCAGTTTGAAATCAGTGTATGCAAGGATGCACCTGATTTAATCAGAGCCAAAGTAGTTAATTAAGACACACATCTAGCCACCAGTAAACATTATGGATTCAGACCTCCCATAGCAAAACTAGACCCATCAGTGGCTGGTACTGACAGTGTAAAGCTTGTTCCAAGACAGTTGGAAGTTGTGCACATATCACTTCAGTCCTGTGGTATATGGGGTTTGACATGAGGCAGGGATACAATTGAAAATTATGTTGTGGAGAAGGCTGTTTGGATACCTCACATTTACCAAAATCAAGTGGTGACAGTATTAGCAAGACAAAAAGTGTTTCAGACAGCACATCTGATTAATTATCTATTGTTTCATTATACATTTTTTATACTCATATTTGTATATATTGTATAATATAACTCTTGCATTGCATTCTATACAAGGTCTTTATCATAACATAATCATATGTGAAGTAGGTGATTTAATTTCATTGTCATACAGATTATTGGCCATAACTGTTATTATGTGTACTATATTTTCATTTAGTTTTTAGTTATACCTTATCATTATTTTGGTACAATTTACACCTTGTTTATTTTATGGTTTATGGAAACATTCCAAATAGCTGTTTAGAGTGATTTACACCTGTTTTTTTTATGTTGTTACTGTAACAGCCTTTTGCCTTTAGCATTTTTTTACTATTCCTTAGAAATGTGTATTGGTTAAAAATAAAATTATTTAGACCAACAAATGCTGGTCTGTGAGAAAAGTTATATAAAATTAATAAATACGCTGAAACAAGTTTTTCTAGCAACAAGTCAATACAGTTAAGTGAAAGCAGTGATGGCTTACGTGAGAAAATACCGTAATATACCACCCCTCCCTCTCTTCTCTAGGATTAGAAAAACAATAATTACTTTCCCATTTACTTGTGCCACACCACAATTATTTAACATATAACTCTTTTTTACATCAGAAGACAAGTTTCATTAGAAAAAATCCTTTATGTAATATAAATGCTGAAACAAGTTGCTCTGATTCATTTGACTGTATACAACAGGTAAATCCGGTTACCCCCCCCCCCCCCACACACACATATAACTCATTAAAAATACTAAGTTATGATGCCTCAAACCAAATAATATTTTTCCATGCAACAAATATATGCATAAACTTTATAATAGCAAATTATTAAAACTTTTTGATGATGGGCACTTTGCCAATGGTTATTCGCACTCATCCTTTAAGCTCTTTTTCTTCTATTGATTTCGTGTGAGGACTAGCTTATTTTGATCTAGACAAATTAATTTGATACCAGCTAGTATTTTTCTAAGGGTGACAAGGGCAAGTTACCCAAAGGTTGATACATTTTTAGGTAAAAATATGTTTGAATATTGTTCTTTTATAGATAAGGATAAATTGTATACAGTGATTCTCTTTTTATGTAACAAAAGGTCATGATGTATTATGCAGTCGAAATTTCATTATTATAATTTTAGGATCAGACAGATTACTTGAAAGCAGATCCCTCTGTATACATGGACTTAGCCGAGAAACTCGATAATGCACAATTTGATGCTGGTAAGTGGTAATGAGTTGTGAATGCCAATATGAAACTAGCTGGCCTTCATGCAGTTCTAAATATTCATATTTTAGCACCCTTATTTATTAAAGTTTTATACATTGACTACAGTGGTATCATTTATTTGGTAAATGAAATAAACCTTTCATTAACTGCCGTGCATACAAATATATACATACCTACATAGTGTACAGAAGTGAATAAAATAACCAAAACTTCAAAGTAACATGAAATTGAATGAACAGGAAAAATTGAAGCACTAATATATCATTTACTGTTTGCCTTTTAGAATGTGACAGTGACATCACTTTTGCTTTCAGTTAATTAGTTTTGTACATCGACCAGTTCTTCCAGAAATGGTTGTTTGGTTATTTCTCACTTGAATGTAAATTTTTTTAATTCACACGTATAAAAGAATGCCACTCTTGTTTCAGTTTCTATTGAAGATGCTCATTGTCACAACAATCTAGCTCTACTGGAGAAATTCAAAAAGACCAAAGTAATCTTCGGTGTTGTCGCCATTGCTAAAAGTCAAGTGGAGACTGTGGAGGAGATTAAATCGCGTGTCATGGAGGCATTGAAGCACATACCTAAGGAACGCATCATTCTGGCCCCAGATTGTGGTCTGGCCTTCTTGCCTCGAAATATTTTACGTCAGAAGCTGAGCAACATGGTGACAGCAGCAAAGTCCATCGTCTGATTTCCTCAGCTGTTTCGACTTTTGTTAAATTGAGGAAAATGGATGGTTTTCAGGTCTCTTGTGACATTGTGACATTTATTGATTCAATGCAGATTCACACTTATTTTTTTAAGCATTTAATTTGCTAATATTTTACAAGGTTCAGATTTTGAAGGCACTGACCAAAACTGCCTAGATGGGCAATAGGTGTAGAACTATTATGCAATCATCTTTGAATCAAGTGTCTTTACATTACTTTAATAGTTTTCACGATTATCAATTTTTTTAAGCACAAAAATAAATTAATGTTTGAATATTTTAAGTGCAAAATAAAAAAAAAAAAATTAACATTTTTTTTTTTTGCTATTTTAAAATGCTTTCCCTAACATTCAAAATTTAAGCCATGATAGAGACAATTGCCAAATGCAAAAATTACATTTATTCTGAAGAATACAGTAAAAACAGATAGTAATAACAATAAAACCAAAAAAAAACATGATCACTTTACTCAAAAGACAAACTTGTAACTAACAAAACTTGTATTTTAAAGGTACCTTGTACCTATGTTTAAAATATTTTCATGTACAATGGTTTGCGAGAACATAAATTTTGCTTTTTCTCAAGGAAAATTACATTTGGTACAAAATCCCTCCATTATTCAGGAAACATTTAACATTTTCAGTAAAGCAACAATTGTCAATTTAGAGGTAAAAAATTGATTTTTTGTTGTTGTTTCACAGAAACAATATCATATGGCACAAAATAGAAAAAAAAGTTTCACATTTTGAAACATAAAATTTAACATGTTGTCTTTGATAAATGTGTAATATAAATATAACAAAGAAAATGTCTTAAGCATGCAAAGAATGAATAGTAATTACGTAAGATGTTATGGTACCAGTTATGTCCATCCCACTTGATAAAATGATGCTTTTAATTACTTGTGGGGATTTTAAGAACTGCACTGCTAAATAATATATACTTATCCCAGCAGGCACCTTTTTCTAAATGTTACCTGCACTTTTACTTCAGGAAGGCCTATTATCATGTCAATGACATTAAAGTTCACAATATGTTATTCATGAATGGCTTAAATTTAAGGATTTTAATTTAAGAGTGCAATCTTATAATTATTTAATAATTTGTTGTTTTTTATCTTTAATACTGTAAAACCACAACCATTAAGTTTTCACAACAATTTGAGAAATTTTTTCTTATTTGCAGAAAATTGTCTAACAAGGACCTTAGACTTATGGCCTCCGTGTATGCCATAAGAATATGACCTTTACATTTCAAGAAATATAATTTAGATGGTCAATCACTGTCGGAAATGTTTGTGTTTACAACTTTATAAAATATTTACCATCCAGTACTTCTGGACTTTCATCATAACCCAAAGTTATGGATAATTCAAGTTAATGGGAATACAGGACCCATGTATTATTACATGTAACAGTGTATAAGCAATTTAACAGCACAAATCTTATCATCAAAAAGTTACTATCCCTAGACAAATATCAACCACATAAAGCCTACTGTCTGATATACAGAGTTAAAATATATGTAAATGTTACATAATAATGTCATCAAGCTGCAACAATAAACATGGAAGCACTTCAGCTGTGAATGATTAAAAAAAAAACATGGCACATTTAATCCACTTCTTCAATGGTTGGTCCCTGGCCACCTTGACCCCCCTGACCTTGACCCCCAGGAGCACCTCCACCGGGGGCGCCACCTGCACCCTCAGCTCCCTGGTACAGCTTGGTGATGATGGGGTTGCAGATCTTCTCCAGCTCCTTCTGTTTGTCTTCAAACTCTTCCTTCTCTGCCAGCTGAATTAGTAATTAAATTTATAAATAAATAAATTAATTAGCTGAAATACATAATTAAATTTATTAACTAATTATTTAACATCAAATGAACTTGAAACAACTGTCTCTCCTTATAATTTTTTCCCTTAATTTTTTTAAGTGTTCCCTTCAGTAAACAAAATCTGAATTTCATCCAAAAAAGTGTTACCTTTATTGTGGTTATGTGCATATTATTTCCAAATCAAAGTGAATATATGCCATGTGATACATAAAGTTGTGTATTAGTACCTGGTTACTATCCAGCCAATCTATCACTTCTTTACATTTGTTGGTGATAGTGTCACGGTCGCTGTCACTAATCTTATCCTTCAGCTTTTCATCCTCCACTGTAGATTTCATGTTGAACGCGTAGCTTTCCAAGCCGTTCTTGGCGTGAATGCGATTGCGTTGTTTCTCGTCCTCGGCCTTGTACTGGTCAGCTTCGTTGACCATACGGTCAATTTCTTCCTTGCTCAGTCGACCTGGTAACAGATTAAACATGATCAAGCTGAATGCTTTACTTCCATGTATATCTTTGTGTTTTGGGTTGATTTTTAAAAATGGACATCACACATATAAAAAAAATCCTGTGACATTAATTTCAAGATCCTGTCTGGTGGGTCTTTGGAAGGAAACTGGAGCCCAATTGTTGAATATGTAAATAACTTGAACCATTTAAACAAGCTTCACTTTATTCTTACACTTCTCGCTGGGTTAAATTTGATTAAGTATATAACATATTTTGACTTGGCCAAGAAAATTGTAAAAAATCATTCGTCATTTAACAGCCAAAATTTTCACCAATTTGGATGAAAATTTTATTTGCTTAACATTGCTGAGTTATTTTACTAAAAGAAATTTTATTCCAGGGTCTTTACAAAATAATAATAAAAAATAGAATAAGTTAAAAATCTGCACAGCAGTGACGCTAGAAAGTTTTTTACAATACCTTTGTCATTTGTAATTGTAATCTTGTTCTCCTTTCCTGTGCTCTTGTCAGCAGCAGAGACATTCAAGATACCATTGGCATCGATATCAAACGTGACCTCTATCTGAGGGACACCGCGAGGGGCGGGTGGAATACCCGTCAGCTCAAACTTGCCCAGCAAGTTGTTGTCTTTGGTCATAGCTCTCTCACCCTCGTACACCTGAAACACAGACAAGTTTTTTTTAACGCACTTACCCAAGCAGTTGAATAAAAAATATTTACCCACGGCAATAGGTTTTTAATTTCAATTATAATTTACAATAGTACATTAAATTTGGAAAAAAAAAAAAAAAGATTTTTTTTCTCCCTAAACCAATGTCATTACTTTTCCAACACATTAAACAAACAGCTTTGGATATTCAATCATTATCATCAAAGTCACTATTTTCCCGGATGCCATGTTTTTGTTTGTTTAATTAAACAAAATTTATCTCCTTTTTTTTTCTTTTTTATTCTTTTTTTGACATATTACAGTTTTATGCCTATTACCCACAGTTAACAGCCCAGTGGTCAAGAGTGACCAGTACTGACCTGTATAAGCACACCAGGCTGGTTGTCAGCATATGTGGTGAACACCTGGGTCTGCTTGGTGGGGACAGTGGTGTTCCTCTTAATGAGAGCGGTCATCACCCCTCCAGCTGTTTCTATGCCCAGGGAAAGAGGGGCAACATCCAGCAGCAAGAGGTCCTGGACCTCGTCAGACTTGTCACCCGACAGAATGGCAGCCTGGACAGCTGGAATAGGTAAACAATTTGCACAATGATATTATATTTAGTAGAATAATCAAGAGAAGAAATGTGGTGTGCATGTGCAGGAGAAAAAGACCAAACTATTTTGAAAATAAAAATTTGTAAATATAAAAGCCCATTCGAAACTGGCAATTATTAACATCATTTTGAGCAGCAATAGTGCAACATTTACCTGTGCATAAAAAGGAATTTCTATTTATGCGGCAATGTAATTTTGACAAAAAAGGAATTCTTTTTCCAAGTAATTCTCAAAAGAAAAAAAAAAATTATTGCCAAGAATTTTGAAACTGTGAATACAAAAACTGAAATCTTAAAAAATCATTGCATTAACAGTTGCACAAGCTTAGTACCAACCTGCTCCGTAAGCCACAGCCTCGTCAGGGTTGATACTCTTGTTCAGTTCCTTGCCGTTGAAGAAATCCTGGAGCAGCTTCTGGATCCTGGGAATACGTGTGGAGCCGCCCACGAGAACAATCTCGTGAATCTGACCCTTGTCGAGCTTGGCATCCCTCAGGGACTTCTCGACAGGTTCCAGGGTGCCGCGGAAGAGATCAGCGCAGAGTTCCTCAAAGCGAGCACGGGTGATGTTGGTGTAGAAATCAATTCCTTCAAAGAGGGAATCGATTTCAATGCTTGCTTGAGTGCTGGAGGAAAGGGTTCGCTTGGCACGCTCGCAGGCTGTGCGTAGACGGCGCACAGCACGCTTGTTTTGTGTGATGTCTTTCTTGTTTTTACGCTTGAATTCAGAGATGAAGTGGTTGACCATTCTGTTGTCAAAATCTTCTCCTCCCAAGTGAGTATCACCAGATGTGGACTTGACCTCAAATATACCGTCCTCAATGGTCAAGATGGACACATCAAAAGTACCACCACCAAGATCAAAGATGAGGACATGCTTTTCTGCCCCAACCTGGAAAAACAATTAGTAAAAGGCTCTTAATTTAAATAAATCGTCACATTTCTTTAAACCAGTTCATACAAAATAGGCCATCTTTGTTTATAAATATGTTGAAATTTTCTAGACCTCTTAAATGCTTACAAAAAGCTAATGAAAGCAATGAGTATTGTGCTAGTTGTGCTAAGTCTCCAAATGTGCCACAAAAATCACCATGCACCATCAAGTTTTCACAGCCAACACACTCACCTTCTTGTCCAACCCATAAGCAATGGCAGCAGCAGTGGGCTCATTGATGATACGCATCACGTTCATGCCAGAGATAGTGCCGGCATCTTTGGTGGCCTGGCGCTGGGAATCATTAAAGTAAGCTGGAACTGTGATCACGGAGTCTGTCACTTTCTGTGAAATAAAAAGTTTTTAGTATTACTCACAGATTCTAACCACGGTAATATAATTGTGTGTGTAGTCTAGTTACGCCATCTTAATTTTATCATTTATTATTATCAACCACTTCAGTCTATATTATCAAATCAACAACATGCAAAAGATTTTTTTTAGCAGCCACATTTTAAAAGTGCACTGAAAATAAAAACCATCTGAGACACATCAAATACTTAATGTACACTCAAAGGACTTTTGTCCACTTGTCCACTTTTTTATCAATTAAAAAATTGGTAATGGTCACCTAGTAGGCTAACCCTTTCATCTTTTAATTTTTTCATTTACTTTTTTTGTTCAATTACCCGACTGTATGCAGGTTCCACTTTTTTTTTTTTGCAATTACATATTCACCAGACGACCAACAATAGGCCTACTAAATCATATTCAGAGTGTTCAGCTTACTTTGCCAAGATAAGCCTCAGCCACCTCCTTCATCTTCACCAACACCATGGAAGAGATCTCCTCAGGATAGAAAGTTTTCTGTTCTCCCTTGTATTCCACCTGGATCTTTGGTTTGCCGCCCTCATTGATGACCTTGAAGGAGAAATGCTTCATGTCTGCGGCGACAGAGGGGTCGTCAAACTTTCGGCCAATGAGACGCTTGGCATCTTAATTAATCAATGATAAAAAAGATGTTTATTATCACTTATCATGACTATGAAGTAAAAATTTGTCTTAATTAATCAATGATAAAAAAGATGTTTATTATCACTTATCATGACTATGAAGTAAAAATTTGTCTTTGTCTGACGAGAAATATATATGAGTAAAAAATGAAAATTTAATTCTATTAATTGATTGAAAATTTAATAAATGGATGTTCATAAAGTTCTTAGCTCTTTTCATTTCCAAAACAAATTTGAAAATATGAATTAAAAACTGAAGAGAAAATGCCAGTATCATACAACCTGTACATGGCACATGTTTAAAAATATTCGTCTTTCTGATAAACCATTCAATTTCTTGTGATGCAAGGCAATTTTTTTGTATCTTACTTTCATTTTAGATATGCTTTTCTGCTCAACTTATACAATACAATACATCATTATTAAGAATTGGTCATCCGAGTTCTCCACTTACCAAACACAGTGTTACTAGGGTTCATCGCCACCTGGTTCATGGCAGCATCTCCAATCAGACGCTCAGAGTCGGTGAACGCCACATAGCTGGGGGTGGTGCGATTACCCTGGTCGTTAGCGATGATCTCCACCTTGCCATGTTGAAACACACCTACACAGGAATAGGTGGTGCCCAAGTCAATTCCAATAGCTGGTCCTTTGCTCATATTGTTGGTTTAGTCTGTGGGGAAACAATACCATTTTTTTAAATAAAGAAAATAAAATAGATAAATAAATAATTCTTTCATTAATAAATGACATTTTATTGAATATAAAAGGGAAACCGTTTCTCAGACCATGTGGAATGGGAAAAGACCTGTTCATGGTTGCTTTTATTTATAGAAATTAAAAAAAAAAAAGATCCCCCGCCACCCAGTAAAAAAATAATACTCCACCTGTTTAAATGACCTAGTTGTTTATCACAAACACAGCTTGATGCAAGACTATTTTTAAATGATATAATAAAACTCATTCAAAATGATGGGGGAGAAAACATGTTTAGGCAATCAGGTCTAATTTATGCTGTTGAAACGTGACTGAATATTCATTTTTGCCCGAGGAGCTGACACTATTATGCGGTTTCTTGCTATACATTATTAAGTACAGCTACAGCTAGTGCAATGATCTAACATTTCACCTGCCAGACACAGTCTCCCTCCATTCTGTAAAAAAGTACATCTGCCCAACTTTCTGGCGTCTGCTGACTCTAGTTTTCTTTCTCTCAAATTACGAGATCCTGAGACGAGTTTCTCAAACTTCCAAAAGAAATATTTGTGTGAATTTGAGGCTCAACTTTCTTGGCCCCCAACTACCACGCTTACCATGTAATTGTATTACAAGCAGACATGTTTCATCATGGATATCTTGCTAAATATTCCCTTAACTGTTAATACAACTTACCTCACCTACTAGTGAAGCGGTTCTTCTGCACCTTAATTAATGCGATACAAATGAGTCAGAGACAGACTGCAGGTAGCCTCCACCACACCTCAACAGGTTTACCTGTTACAAGTTTAAGAGATCTCGTTTGGTCTGCTTTACATCTAAACTAGCCTTTGGAGAATTTTACTGCAGACCGCAGAGTGCATTTAGCTCATATCAAGTTTTAGGTCGTCTTTTTGTCTAGGCCTGGCCCATTTCATCTGCAATAAATTTTTAACCCACTTATTTTTATTTTTCACTTTTTTCATTTTCATTTTTATCACTCACATTATTCACTTTTTCTGACAAGAAACCAAACCCCAGCTCATCAAAGGTGTAATTTCAGGCCGGAAGGGTGTGAATGTTTTCACCTGTCATGTATACATGTACCTAACCCTACTACAGGGTCCATTTGAATAATTACATAGACATAAATGTAGCCATGCTTCACCTAAGCACTAAATGTCTCAACTATCCCCAACACTGGTCCTCAACGTGGTATACATTTGTCTGAAAACAACTTATTAATAGGTTGCACCTTTTTATATGCCATTTGTAGACTGTTTAAAGAGCGCAGTGTCTGATGTCCGGCAATTACAAGCATTGACCACAATCAGCCTAGCAATTTAGTCAGGTACAGTAATCTAGATTGGTTAAATGTGAAAGGTGAGAAATAAAATATATGCCTCACAATGAGCAATGAGAAGGTTACACCTATCCGGCCAAGTAGGACTATATCTGAGCAGTAAAAAGAGGTGCATGATATCTGGTAATTAGGAGGAATTATAGCCACGTTAGCATGCCTTTGACCTAGGGACCATTCCCAGACCCTATCGTACTAACTGTGGTTCGATCTACCTACAAGGGGATTCTCGCTAAATTGCAATCAACTTAAGCGGCTTAGATGTCTGTCACACCCACTGAAGCTGCTAGGCAGTAATTAATTATCGTTTAGCAGCTTCAGTAGACATGCTAGACATCTAAGCTGCTTAAAGTAATAATAACTCTTCGTTTTGGCTTAAAATTGGATTTTCCTGGAAAAAACGGCAATTGTCTCGTACTTACCAATGGTCAACGACCCCATTCCTGCATTCAAAGTTAATCCAGGGTTTTTTTCCTTAACATACGGTTTTTTGTTAAAATCTCTTAAGAGATTTTAACTGACGGAGCTCTCTCTGACATTGCATAGTCACTGGTGACCTACTTAAAACCGCGGGAAAAGCAGACAACAACAACACTATATAACAATAATATAAGATTCATGATATATATATTCGTCTTTTTGTAAAAAATGCATTTATATCCACAATGTGTGCCATTCTGGGCTGTTCGTTATCCGACGCACTGTACAACAACTCGCAACTTACGTCTGCAAACTGCACTAGCGTTTGGCGCCATATGTTATTTTGGTCTCGAATGAACGCGAGAATCCGCGTGACACCCAAACGTCATTGGCAACGAATGCCTTGATGACCGGGAAAAAAGGCATCGAAAGCCCTTCTGACAAGCACAGATTTTAGTTTTACTACAATAATGGCCGTTTTAGTGGTAAAATGCAATAGAATATATTTCCATGCGTTGTTTACAATGTATTTCTTGCGGATTTTTGAATCTCAAAGGAAGAGTTATTATTGCTTTAAGCTGAAAGCAATTTTGGGAGAAACCCCTCGGAGATGGATCGATCCTATTAGATTGATCTAGACGTGGGAACCCAGTCCTAGGTAACAATGCAATGATATATTCCAGAGCCTGTGAAAGAGAGTAGGTAAAATATTGCAGTAAGTCGGGTTGGAGAATGAGTAATTCCACCACACCTGTCTGAGCTGTATCTACTGCAGAAACCACATATTTGGAGAAAATTCCTGAGTTAACTGATAAATAATATCTCCTTTCAGCCAGGTCTAGCAACTTTATAACTACTCTTGTATTTTTCCATAGCCTGCGAACTCTTGTTTTTTTTTTTTATTATTATTCAGGCCAGGATTACACTAACCTTTCTAATTCATGTAATTCACAACCTAAGTCTTTGCATTAACTGAGCAACTAATCTAAAACTCAGAGTATAGAAAATCTGCAAATTCAATTCCTGTTTATTCGGTAAACATAATTCTTGCATGTATTCTAAACCATACGATTACACTAAATTGTTATAATTTCTTTTTTTCTTTTTTTTTTTTTGGTTCT